GTAAATTTGAGTTCGTCTTGCATTTTGAAGGGTAACTGGGATATTGTTAAGAAGAGGAACTGGCTTAAAACTGGTGATTTAGTGCAGCTTTGGACGTTTAGAAAAATTGAAGGTGAGGGTGATACCGATGATCTCATGCATGACTTGACAAGAATGTTTTTTAGTGTTTAGAAGCTCAGTTCTGTTTAATCAAGTAATCACCCTAGTAGGAAGTGGCATTAAGTAGAAATGGGGTTGCAATCCCAACTCCTTCTCTTATCTCAAAGCTAAACTGCTAATGCCAACTTAGTGGATCACGTCAAGGCTAATTAAAGCAATAAAGACGAATAAAATGGTTCATAACCCCCTATTTCTCAAAACTGAAGGAGATAGGCTAACGATCCATAGGTCATGGTGCCAAAAAGACTGTTGATTCAGTTTTTCACAAGTACTGCTTCTTCTACTCCCAACAAGATTATGCTTATCAGCATATCTTTGGACAATGAGGTATGGTGCAGTGGACAGATCCATGATGACAAAGACAGGCTCAGGCCTCCCATCAGAATTTGTAAGTAGATGATAAATCCTTCTACTACAGAGTTTTGCAGAACATATCAGATAGCATTGTCCCAGTAAATGCAAGAGGAGGTATCTTTAGTGAGTTATAGGAGATTGAAATTTACAATTAATCACTTGATTTTGATTGAGATCTGTTATGGTATTAAGGTGCCCATTGCTTGGATTTAAGCACTCCAAGTGCAAGTGACCCTGACTGGTTAGTTGCACGGGGAGACAAGGAGATCAACATCATTGGAGGCTGGATAAAAGGACTACAATGAAAAACTAGGTAGCAAGACTGGCAACAAGATGGCTTCTGAGGGAAAAAGAAAAAAGTTAAAATCAAACTGCGCCAAAATCATGGAATGTTAAGACCACATCAATTGTTTTTTTTATCAAAATCAATAAAGCCAAACAAGGATTTGGTGTTCATAGTTCAACAACATTGACTTATAACAATTCTGATCAAAAATAGTTTTATTAAAACATTACATTGTGCCATAAATTGAGCTTTTTGTTTTTTTTGTATGTTCTCAGTACTTAGCAAAAAACTGTTGTGACATAGACTGAAAATCTGCTAGGAAATTTCATGGTACTAGTACAAACTTCTGTGCTTCGCTATCTGTTTTTGAAAATAATGCAAAAATGTCTACCTACGTAAAAAAAAAAGGACAAATTTCGTAAACCAATAGCTTCCAAAGCTGTCGTTTTCAAGAAATACAAGCCATTCCTGGTAGAATCTAAAGAGCAAATAGTGGTTGGATTATGGACTGACGAGATTGTGAGCCCAAGGCTTAGTCCAACAAAAACAAGTTCATGAGAGAGACTTACAACCATTAGAGAGAGAGTTGTTTATAAAAATCTTAGTATTATAAAGTCTCTGATTGATTAGTTATATCATATGTACATTAATGCCAAGAGAAAAAGAAAAACTATGCCAAGTAATATAGTACCAAATAGTCAACAGGAAATTTAGTTGATTTGATCTGTCCCTAACCTTTCCAGGAAAATAGAGAACAATATAAAAAAAATTTTGTCTTAGAATTTTTTATATATAATAATCATTTTAAATCTCGATTAATTTAAAATCAAATCAAATTATTTTTATAAGAGAGCTAATCTCTCCCGACGCTTATCTTTTTCATTCACAAGATTTGAAATTAAACTTTATTTTAAAAAAAATCAAACTCTTTAGTTATTTGAATTAACAGGAATTGTATTTCTGCAAAAATTTCTCCTTGAGTTGATCTCTCACATAATTATTCAAAATTCTCAATGTTTTACTAATGTTTATTGGTTTGAATGACAAAGAATTAGATTACCCTTAAACAAAATTTTAATTTTGAGTTTTGTGAATGAAAAAAATAGACTTAAGAGAGTTTATCCTTCTTATGAGGTCTAATTCGACTCAATTCTATATTAATTAAAACCTAAAATGACTATCAAATACTGAGAGATCTCAAACCAAAAAATTCCTCAATATCTTTAGAATCTTTGAAATATTTGAGCCTAACTAATTCCTATAAATAAATAAATAATATATATATCCAATATTACACAGAAGAAATTCCAAATAGAAAGTAGAGAGACTGCAAAATGTTTGATTATGGTACTGATTATATATATATATATATAGTAATTTAATTATGCTTTATAATATTGTTATAAAATGAAAATCAGTGAAATGTAAATTCTTGGTCCCTACACTTTTTTTTAATGGTTATCAGTTTTATTTTCTTTTCTTTCCTTGATATATAGTCCACACCACGTGATATCACACTGCTTTTTATTGGAATATGTCTTCCACATTTTTTCTCCGTCGAAAATTCGTCCCAGAATCTCATTCACGTCCTCTAGAAAAAGCTATGCATAATGTCCTATGCTTATGCAAATACCCCAATTCCCAAATCATCCTATAAATATTGGCCGAACGATTAATGAAATATAATTAGTATTGAAGCTTTTAGGATTTTCTTTAACAAAGAGGGAGTAATCTAGGGATTGAAGAAGAGCTTGTAAGTGTTCAGATGTAAATTTAAATTTTAGATTTATTAAAGATTATTTTTTAAAAATAATTATATAAATTAATTAAATTTTAAGTGCGATATTTTTAGAAATTAAAAACTAAAAAATGTACCTTTCCTTTGTATTTCCTTTATATTTTCAATTGAAAATATATGCCATGTACAGCATAATTTTTCCAGTTATGATTCTAGACCAGGAATCATTACATCATGTTTGATCGAGATAAATGTAAAGATAACCGACTTGGCTGAATGCAAACACTAAAAAGATTGTGCACGCGGAAATAAAGGTGCTTCACAGAACAATTCGTTTTTTATTCAACGTTTCTCGTGCGAGGAACGTACTCAACTTTTCTGTTTGTTTCCAAGGAAAAAAATCTGGAACTAAATGAGTATGATATAAATAGATTACGCATGCATATGCAGTTGGTGGGTTTGTGGGCATGGGTATGTAGCGTTGTTTGAAAGGAATTACAAGCGTGAGCCCACGATCAAAAATGTCAAATCATTAACTTGCTTAAAATTATTTGAACTTTTGCTAAAAGTTAAAGCAAATCATGAAGATGGTCGCTATCTATGAGCTATGGAATTTTCATGGAATTTTTGAACTCCACAAACAATTTTATAGAATTGCTATATTCATTTAATATAAATTTGTGGTAAAATAGATATGTAACTATAATATATATACACACATGATGATACAAGGAGGAATCTGTTTATATTAGTGTGAAATTAATTTAATTTTATAATTTTTATTTTTTAATCCAACAATTTTATTTCATACTTTATTAATTCATGTAGTTTATTCATGTCAAATTTCAAATTAATTAAAAATGTTTAATTATTTGTTTGATATAGTTAAAAATGTTTTTATATCATACATTAATTAGAAAGGTTCGAGCCCTTAAGAACAAATTACGACACTTTCTCGTACGTAACTCAAATTACATCATGATTTCATGCTAAGAGTATTTCATGGTTTCGGGACGAATAAACTTTTGGACTTTAAATTTTGATCACACATGAGACATTCTTATCTATATTGTGTTGCACGGGAACACATGTGAAAAGCATCTTTTTTCTTTTAACTTTTCTGGCACAGGAGACCGACACAATTTCCATTCTATTATATGATATCTATATTCCACAAGAAAACTATGCAATTTGATTATTCAACTTTCAAAATGATTTGATATGAGTTATGCTATTTGTCCGTCAAATTTGGCTGTTGGATAAATACATACTCTTTCAATTCATAAAGAAAATATATTACAATCAAACCAATAAATTATTACTTAGACAAAATATTGATATATATGAAACTATATAGTATTTTCCTTAATTTATATTGCTATATCAAGAACTAACACAAAAACCCATGAAAATTATCAATATTTCAACCAACAATGATGATAGCATTGTGATGTTCAATTTGATCATAATTAATTCAGGAAATAAATATTTTAATTAGCACATCGATGAGTGTCAAATCTTATTTTAATTTTGACATTTAAAACCAAACATAAGAATCAATCCCCATTTTTAAAATTTGGAAAGGCAAAAAATGAAATAAATAAGTGGGAAAATAGCTGTAAAGATTTGGAAGATGTACTTGAGATATATATTGGCAATAGAACATATGTAAAAGATGTCTAAATTAAGGAAAATCAAAGAAGAAATAGCTACTAGAGATTAAACAAAAAAAATTCATTCATCAAAATTTAGACCTTAAAACTTTAAATTAATTTTTATTTTTTCGGGTTATGGTTAAAATTCAAACTCGAGACTTTCAATTCAAAAAAAAATCCAATATCAGTAAACTATTGACTCATTGATTTCAAGTTGTTTTTTAAATTAGTAAAATTTTCACTTTAGATTGTTGTATCAAGGGTAGCTAAGTCTAATCCAAGTAAAATGTTGCTATGATCAACATGCCATACTATCTAACTTTGAGGGGAAAAAAAAAAAAACAAATTTTGATTAGCCCCATAGAGTGATGAACCGATAATAATGTTATAAATGGCATTAGATTTCATTTAAAGTACGGTATTATGCTTATTTTATTCTTATTTTTTGGGCTAACAATCAGCCGATATTGATGTATTTATGTTTAAGTGAAATTAGAATTGAAGAGGTGAGAGTGAGATCATGTTTGATTAGTTTTTCAAGGCTTCCTATGAGAACTCTATTAAAAAAGATGCCTTGGAGTCTCCTAATTAATTGATTTTGGAGTCCTTCTCTTTCTCTAATTAACCTTAATTGAAAGAGCTGAGTTGCAATTTCTCTTTAATTTCGTATAGATATAGATAGGATAGTTAAACTTTCAAAGCAAACTAATTCATAAGTAAACTCATTTTCTTCTAAGCAAACTCTTTAGTGCTATATATATATATGAGCAATAATTAGTTCTTGGACCTGGCATTGGCAAAAGGCTTTGAAGCTCAAAGAGAGCCTAACAAAGCATATATTTATATATACTACTGTTTCATAGATAAATTAATTGCCATGAATTATCCTAAATTTTCAGTCCAATGGCTTCAATTCATAGTTATGGTTATGGTTCTCTCAATTTCAGAGAATAGTTGCAGTGCTGGCCGGTTTGACATTCCGAGACTGAGTCCAACGAGAGGAACATTAATCTTGGAACAGCCTGATATTGTGTCGTCTGCATCAGTTTCAGAGGATCTTCGAACTTTTTATTACCCCCAAACACTTGATCACTTCAACTACAAGCCTGAAAGCTATTCCACTTTTCAACAAAGATATGTGATGAACTTCAAGTATTGGGGCGGAGCCAATGCTAGTGCACCAATTCTAGCCTATCTTGGAGCTGAAGCACCTTTGGACGGTGATCTTGCTGTTATTGGTTTCCTCAATGACAATGCCATCCGCTTCAATGCTCTCCTCGTATACATTGAGGTAATAATATCAAAACATTCTGATAATCAATTAAGAATCTAATTAACAAATTCTATTTTCATCAGCATCGATACTATGGAAAATCAATACCATTCGGATCAAGGGAAGAAGCCTTCAAAAATGCAAGCACTCTTGGCTATTTCAACTCTGTCCAAGCCATAGCAGACTACGCAGAAATCATCATGCATATCAAGAAGAAACTTCATGCTTTCTATTCTCCGGTCATCGTAATCGGAGGATCATATGGGGGAAGTAAGTTTATACCGGTAACAAAATTACATCAAACCTTCACCTTATGTATATTTAACTCTTCCTTGATCTTTTTTTTTTTTTTTCAATGAAATCAGTGCTGGCTTCATGGTTTCGGCTCAAGTACCCTCATGTAGCTTTGGGAGCTGTGGCCTCATCAGCTCCAGTTCTCTACTTTGATAAAATTACACCAAGCGGTGCTTACTTTTCAGTCGTCACTAAGGATTTTAGGGTACTTATTGCATTGAACTTTCAGTTTAATTTTCTTTCCCTTTCATTTGTATATTTAAATTTTAATGTGATTGGAATTCATGCACAGGAAGTGAGCGAGACCTGCTACCAAACCATACGAAAATCATGGTCTGAAATCGACAAAATTGCTTCCCAACCCCATGGTCTTTCAATCCTCAGCACGAAATTCAAAACTTGCAAGTAAGAACATGAAATATAAGTTTTTTGGGCAAATTGGGTTTTTACGTAAATTTTTATATCTATTACTTTTCAATACATACCTTTGAATTAACTCTTGATTTTTTTAAAAAGGGTTATCTCTAATTAATTCTTTTTATCGGTTTGTTAGTCCATTAACCGATTCGTCAGAGCTTAAAAACGCGTTGACGAAAATGTATGCTTCAGCAGCTCAATATAATCAACCCCCGAGGTATCCAGTAACCGTGGTATGCGGAGGCATTGATGGAAGTGAAAAACTAGATATTCTGAGCAAGATTTTTGCTGGCATTGTTGCTTTCAGAGGGAATCGTTCTTGCTATATCAATCAACCAACCAACCAATCCGAAACAACCGTAGGGTGGAGATGGCAGGTATATATTCAGTTTTTTTTTTTTTTTTTTTATCATATCTTATCTTTAGATTTTGGTAGCTTCTTAAGAATTATCGTTGATTTTTTGGCCAATAGAAGTTATATATCCTTAGTTTAATAAATGACATTGACAATATTAGTGCTTGAATATGACAAACATAGACCACAACAATGCAAAAAACACAGGAAAGTACAAATTTTGGGGCAACAATTAGTGTTGGCTATTACTTTTTGCCTAATTGTTATAAATGACGACTTATTTGAGTTTTAATTATGATGGCTAGTGAAATGACCCTTTCTATTTGAACCATGGAGACAAGGTGAATGATGTAGATTTTTTTTTTTTTTTAATGTTCTTTTTAGATGAGTAAAATTTGAAAGGAGATAGAATTGAGATTTAACTCAAATGATATATCTACATCTTTTAAAAAGTGTGTAATTATAATATTCCGGTTTGATCTCAATATTTACAATTTTCTTTTCATATAAAAAATTATGAGTTGACAGATGTTGGGATAAAATGGAGAAAATTCTTAACCCTTGAAAAGGGATGATCAAAATTTAATGGATTGACAAAAGATTTATAATTTTATAATCAAATAATTAAAATGTTGAAAACACCCCTTGATAGTAAGTTCCACTAGGGCGACAAGGCGAATTAAAGATATTTTTATTGGATATATGGAGTATATATAAACAAAATCATGAGGATATTTTTATTCATGAATAGACTAGACCAATGAAGCTCTCTCTGTCTCCCTTCAAACTTTTATCTTTGTCAAAAATGAAATTTCATTGCAAATTCTTGATATAATTAATGACAGAATAATCTGGTTTTTTTTTAAAATAGATAATGACCACAGAATCTTAATAAGTAAATTTACCAAACAACTTGATAGTATGATGAATATGACAATTAGGATCACCAAATTCAACATTGCTAGCTATTGTTATAAGTTCTATCGAAAGTATATTATAATTAAAATGCATTTAAACATTTATTTCAGTGATTGATGCTTGGTTTTTTTTTACTCTGGCAATAAATTAACTTCAAATCTCTTATTCTCTAAATAAAATTAAAACAAAAGTATCCTACAATACGATTGTTTTAAAGATAAAAAAACATGGCTTGATATGTAACGAATTAATAAATGTGCCCAAAAGTTTTATTTTAAAAGGTTGCTTTGTGATCTCCATTATTTCTTTTTTGGAATCAAGGGAATATGGTAACCTTTAAATTCCAATATTAGTTTAATTTTTTATTTGAAAACAAATTCAAATCCAACTCTTCGAATATTAGACAAATTTTTACAGAGTTTTGGTGTAATTTAGACATGCAGTGAAATGGTGATACCTATTGGCATCGGCAACAACACCATGTTCCAACCTGATCCCTTCGACCTAAACAGTTTTATACAACAGTGCATGAGTTATTACGGAGTTCCTCCGCGGCCTCATTGGGTCACTTCCTATTACGGTGGCCATGTGCGTGCCAATCCCTCTCTTAATTTCTTCACAATTGTTTCATATATATATATATATATATAAATTGAGATTATATATCAAAAAATGATGAATATTTATCCATATTTATATGTTTCTGATCCTTTTTAGAGGCATATTTTGCAGGACATAAAATTGATTCTCCAGAGGTTTGGTAGCAACATCATCTTTTCAAATGGGCTGCGAGATCCTTATAGTCGGGGCGGGTAATTAATTATTACCGAAAAATCTTTTTAAAAAAATAAAAAAAATACCAAGATATTATCTCTATTGAGTAATAGATATACCATATGTTATCTTATATTGTTTTATTGTAGGGTTTTGGAAAACATTTCAGAAAGCATTCTTGCCGTATATACAGTCAATGGTACGTGCCTACGGCTAGCTACCTAGTACTCCATTGTATTTCTGATGCAGATCAAAGTAATGTTAATGGTCATATATATATATATATATATATATATATTTATATATTGATGTTGCATGCAGGATCTCATTGCTTAGATATACTTCCAGAAAAGAAAACCGATCCGGAATGGTTGATTAGGCAACGAAGTATAGTGGTGAAGATTATCAAACGATGGATGGCTAAGTACTATGCTGATCTTAGATTAGCATTAATCAAACAATAGGAATTCCAAGATCATGAAAATATAGATAAATAATAGTACAACAATCTCATTTTGTTCCTTATAACCTTATCCATTGTTGAACATGTACCTTTGCTCCATCTGATTGAATTTGAGCTTGCTTTTTCTTTTTTTTTTTCTTTTGGGAGGTGTACTTGATTAAATTGAAGTTCAAGCATGAATATGAAAAGCTTTTCTTGAGGTTAACAAGATTGGAATAGCATTTGATGAGTTCCTCAAATTTTCTCGTAAGTTTCTTAATATACAAGCTGTGTTCCAGGCTTTGAGATCCACCTTTCAAAACAAATTATTAGATTCAAGGTTCAATTCCTTATTCCTTAATTGTTAATTTGTACAAATTGGTCCCTCTAAAAAGAGAAATATTCAATTTGAGCCCAACATAGATTGTGTGACCCAAATGACCCAATTTCATGTTCCGATTTTGGGCATTATACAAATTGGGCACTTCTTAATTTTTGATTTATAAAAATTGGGCCCTCTAAAAATATTCAATTGGGCCAAACACATATGTGACCTAAATGCAGCAATTCCTTGTTTCGATTTTGGGCATTATACAAATTGGGCATTTCTTGATTTTGATTTATATGAAATGGGTCTTTTAAAAAGAAAAATATTCAATTGGGCCCCACACAGATTATGTGACCCAAATGAAGTAATTCTTATTCTGATTAAAGCCATTAAACAAATTGGGCCCTTTAAAAGTAAAATATTCAATTGGGCCCATATAGATTATGTGACCCAAATGACTCAATTTCTTGTTCCAATTTTGGGCATGAAGCCAGGGCCCTTCACATATATTCCCTGTCCAGTCTCTTATCTTATGTATGAATATGATGTACCACTATAAAGTGGCAAAAACAAAAAAATCTAAAATCTTTTTGAAGGTTTAGGGTTTTAGAAAGCGAATCTGAATCGAAAATCGAAGATGTTGAGAGTAAATCGAGTGATCAATCAAACTAGGGCTTCGATTTCCACTCTTCAACATCTCCTAAATCATGAACAAAAGCTTTTTCCTTTCCCTCCTCAACATTTCGCTCGAAAATCCTCCAATCGCTTCTTCGACATTTACAAGGTAATTCACCCTCGAAAATCCTCCAATTGCTTCTTCGACATTTACAAGGTAATTCACCCTCCTTTTAACACAAGAAAAGGTTTCTTTTTTAAGCTAAAGTTCTTAACTTTTTATTATACGCAGTTTGGAAGCAAAACAGAAATCGAGAAAGAACGGGCAAGACTGTAAGATCAAGTTTAAGTTTGTTTGTTTATTTATTTATTAAGATCTTTTAATGTGCTTTTTGATAAATTTCAATAAAAAATTGGTTTAATTTGATTTAGGGCAGTGCTGATGAATTGAATAGAGGATATTTTCAGGATATGTCTGAGCTAAAACAACATGGTGGTAAGGTATTAACTCATTTATTTATTATTAAAAAAAGAATTATGCTAAATCATTTCTAAATTTGTTAAATTTTTATTAAATTAGCCAAAATGGAAAAGATTTTTAGGGAAAATAATGTTATTTTCTGAGAAGATTTTATTTATTGGAATGGAACCTTTCTTTTGCAGATTGCAATCGCAAATAAGATTTTAATTCCTGCAATGGCGGCTAGGAAGTTTCCTGCCGTGGATGTGATATACTCTGATGGCAGAAAGTTAAAGCTGCCGGTTATTTTTAATGGAAATGGGGGTGATGCCGACAAGTTGGCTGTCCCTAAAGCGTCTTTAGTCTGTTTATCATTTAGAGCAAACTCTCAGGTATGAATTCCTTTTGCCATGTTTGTTTTGAATCAATTTTATATATTTTGAAACAATGTTATAAATCTTTCATTGTGCAATTATCATGGAAAAAAGAATGTTGATTAGATAGTGCATTGCTTTTAAAGTTGGGGATAAAGGTGTATCAGCATCTCGTGGCAATGGCAGGGTTAAGAGTTAGATCTAAGTGCAAGCATGAATATGAGAAAAAAACAGAAGAAACAAAAAGATGTTGTTGGTTACTACCTCATCCGTTTTCTGGTAATTGGTGTTGTTGATTGCTGTTGCTTATGCAATTTAATCTTCTTTTCCTTGGCAGGGAATGGTTGATTCTTGGAGCAAGCCTTTTTATGAAACCTTTAGTGAGTCCAAGAATGTTCAGATATATGAGGTTCTATACTTTTTCTATTTAACTTAGAGATTTATTCTAATGTTTGTAAGCTTTGTGCCATATGCAGTAGATCAGCTGTTCTTGGTTTTCTGGAGCTAGAATTGATAGATTGCATGCATCTGTAACTCAAAAGAATGATAATAATAATAATAAATAAATAAATAAAACAAAGAGCAAGAATAACAGAGAACCATGCTGTGTTTGACTTATGACATTCCTAGTTCAGCTTCAAGTGCATCAGATCAGCCATAATTGTACTGCAGTTTCTTTAGTCACTGAATACAAGTTATGGAATTCTTGGTGCTGATTTTATGTCTTAAATAAGTTATTTGTTAAAAATACTTATGTTTGGAAATTACAATGTGTTGCTAAATTGTAGTTTGTTTTCTGATATCAGGTGTCATTTATAGACTCTTGGCTCTTATGCTTGAATCCAATTAAGAGACTGCTTCTTCGATTTATGAGGAAATCTATTGATGGAGAGAAGGACATTCTTCAGAAGCATATTGTTTATTCATTTGGTGACCATTATTACTTCCGAAAGGAACTTAAGATACTGAACCTTCTAACTGGGTACTCAAAGTTTCTTATATCCTAATCAATAACATAACTATTCATACAATTCTATTGGTCTGAAATATGCGTTGTTATTGGTTTGAACTTTGAAGGTATATTTTCCTACTTGATAAATTTGGTAGAGTAAGATGGCAAGGCTTTGGTTTGGCAAAACAAGAGGAATTGTCATCACTTCTTTCTTGCACGACACTTCTTCTAGAGGAGAAATAGGTAACCAACCGTGTTCTAGATACTTTATAATCTTAATTTTTGGGTTAATCTCCATTTTGCGTTCAAGGGATATACCAGATTTAGAAGAAAAAGAGGATGTGCTTAGTTTTGAACATGGGCCTATTTTTTATTTTCATTTCCACCCAAAAAAATATTATAAAAATGTCCTTAGTGATTGAAAACAATAATGGTCTTTTAGAAAATGGAGCTCCATAATGGTAGAAAACCGATAAAGATTATAGTATATTTTCTCCATTTCCATGAAAATAAAATAGATCACAAAAACAAACAAATTCTTGTTGCACTCACCAAACGCATTTTCTAAAATCAAGAAACAGAAATGTTTCTGCAACCAAGTACAGCCCTTGATTATCTTTTTGTGGAGAGTGATAAGTACTATTGCCAGTTTTATTTCAACTTCATTTTCTTACATTCTAAACAATAGTAATACCATCATTACCAGTTTATGAGAGACTATATTATTCGCCTTTCGCTTCTGTAAACTAACAATATCCCTTTGATATTTACTTGCAGATACTTTGGCTTGTCTGAAGCGGTTACTTTAAAAGCAAGCCTATTAGCACTTGGCACTTGGCACAAAGGTTTGAGGAATCCAACACTTTGAGAGGCATCATTTGTTGTAGAATAATAACCTTGCTGTTAAGTTTTTAGCAGGAACCGATGTATGATAATCTTCCCTTTTACTGATTTATAGAATTTAATGAATTATGCATTATTATTTTATCGGCTCTTGTATATTGATTCGGACAGCAAACGCGGACATAAGTTGGTTTATATTGGTTCAATGTTACCGTTATTGTCACGGAAACCATTGCAAGAAGATACAATAGACTTATTAATGAATAGCCATCCGAATGCTAAGTTAGGATTCAGAACTTTCTTTAGTTTTCTCAGCACCTCAAGTCAGCAAATAGCCAAAAATACAAATCAAGCGCCAAAAAATGAAATCCCGATGATGAACTTTGATGCTTCAACTTCAAAAGATATTTTCCATTAAATATGATTTTTATAAGAGTTTTACTACTCTGTACAAACCACAGATAACCCTTTGATGACATAGCGCAATGTTTAAAAACTATCCAGTTTAAAAACCTGTACCTGTGACATGTACACAAAAAAACCAAAGCCCTCTGCCAAACAAAATGTCAGGAGTGTTCGCTGTCGATCAACAAATTGGTCAAAAGCTATTGACAATATATCAACTCAAAGGCAAAAGAGTAAGGAGTTGAAGGGCTTAAAGCTACCCTAAATAAGCAAAATCATTAAACCAGGAACGCATATTTTGATGAAAAGAAACCCCAAACAAAAGAACAGAAACAGACGCCTATTCAGCAATAAAACATGACTTCCTTAACATTGTCTTTGATGCTAGGGAGTGGCCGAACCTCGACATTTCTGTCCCTTGCTCGACGCCCCCCACCAGTAGACTCCCCACCAGTAGAGCCACTGTCAGAATTCTCATCCTCCACATAATAGCGTGCCCGAAAAGCAGCCAGATGGGCATAGTATGCAGGAGGCACTGCAAATGTAATCAAAATATTATCTGTTAGCACCAGCTTAGGAATAAACTAACGATAAGCTGAAAACCGATTCAAGAGCAGTTAACAGCAAGATCACGAACCTATAGAAACTGACCGAGTACACCTTGCATACCTGTAAATGAGTAGAATTATTATATTATGTGGTACTAAATTGAGTATTATTTATTCACGCCATTTCAAATTATAGAGAAAGAAGTCGATACATACGTGTAACACAAATTGTTTGTGAGCACTTGCAATATGTCTGCAGTGAAATTGTTTTCATCAAACAGCACATGGTAATGAGTAGGTTTGCTTGTTCCCTACATAAGAAACATAGTGAATACCTTTAAAAAAGACATAGTATCAGACAGAAGGAGCATATCAAAATAATATAAAATAGATCCCATCTGCAGAAGGCAAGCCTGGTTTACCTGGATTCCAGCATGGCTATTAAGATAAAAATCAAATTCAGTAGGGTGGCAAATGCTAGTATCAACAACAGTACCTGCAAAACATTGGTTATGATAAAAAGTTAACGCAATGCTGTAGCAAGGGGAGGTTAAGAGAATATGATAAAATTCCTTATATAAGATTTATTACCTGCTTGGATATTACCACTCTTATCCGTTTGGTTACGCTCGGTAGGAAATAAGCGAGTATGATGCCTCTTCTGCACCACAACAAATGTAACACGTGGCATATACCCCTCCTGTAGTGAGGCACAAGCCTGGAAAGAAAAAAGGCTGGCATCAGCAAGCCCAAACACCAAACATCGCATAAACAAAAAGTAGCATACTTTATTAAGCAAACTCTGCTGGTTGAAAATAATGAACTCCATACATTCATCATTTTCCATTTAAAACAAATGCCCTAGTGATCAGATATACAAAGAACCAGATAAACACAAACCATAGCATTCACAAATTATGAGTTATGAGATTATAACACAATCACTACACGTTGATGTTAATGGCAGGCTTGATAAAACTTTTTCAAAGACACGGAGCTGTTACTTTATCCAATGTAGAGCACAGTCCTAGAACCTCTACCCCCTTCCACCTGCCAAAAATAACCTTTAATACCTTTCGAATTGCATCCATTTCATGGAGCAAAACCTGACTAAATTGGCCTTCGCTAACACCATCTCTGCCAAAATAAATAACACAACATCAGCAATGCTGCTAAAAAAAAAAAAAATCAAGGATATGAATGATCAAAAACAAAGGTTACCTGTAGAAAATAATCCTGAATGGTTTTTGTCCAGTTGACTTGTAGAAAGCCACTAGCAATTCCCTAAAGGAAACAATAAATGTTTGATGAAAAATGTAGAAATCTCTAATAACTATAACATGATCCTAAAATAATCCACATCCACCACCATACCTTATCATTCCACTATGAACAACACCTTTTTGTGGATCCTGAAATGTTTTATAGAGATCCTGGATTATTTCCTCCCGATGAGGCTGTGCAGATACAATTCCGCGGTACTTGGTTACCTCTGGCCAATCCATTGAAGCAACTACCTGCAGCCAGCCAATTACCTCTAAACATGATGAAAAAACAAAAAAGAGACAATAGAAAACATGACTATGCTTACTGCAGCTATTGAAGAACTAGAATCTTCCCCGGGCTGTGGATGAGTGACATCTGAACCAAATATAATTGTAGGGTAATCAGACACACGGGGAATTCTTCTTTGAATGGCATCATCCAGCACAGTATTTCGCCCCCCAACCTAGTCAATTTACATATCTCAAAAATGATTACAAAATAATAAAAGGAGCCGGCATGAATCTGAAATCACCAATGAGGCAGAAAAATTACCTTCACATTGATCTTCAGAGAAAGATTTTCAAAATATTGTTTGCTAAACTTTGAAGCTTGCTTGGGCTGACAACATTGTGAAACAATACCTAACTCTGTCTCACATATTCGTTTAATTTTCCCTGTAAGCAAAAAAAGGATTTTAGTTTCACAGAGAAAACTCTAAATTATTCAAAAACTTTAAATCTAAACCTCTTACCATATGAGCCAGTCTTATCAGGTAAGATAATTATCAACAACTGAAGTGGCCTTTTCAGGCCTGTAGACTCCTTGTAAACGTCCAAGAGAGTTTGATCAATTCTTTCAGGACGAGCTGAACGGATAGGAATTGAAGCAGTTTGGCAGAACACCTTGCATAACAACCAAACGGGAAATCAAGTCAGTCAGTGAATAGATAACAAAAAAAGATATCTACACTTAAGAAACCACATAGTATACCATTCCTTTGCTAACACACATTTTAACCAACTCAGTACAGAAGTCTTCTGACATACTAGCATATTCCAAGGAGAAATTCACACAAGTCCAAAAATCTACTTTGCCACCATTGACCATTTTCTGCAAAACCAAAAAAAAAAAGTTAATCAGTGAAAATCATGGTATAGCAACATTTCATACTTTGCCACCATTGACCATTTTCTGCAAAACCAAAAAAAAAAGTTACTCAGTGAAAATCATGGTATAGTAACATTTCATATATACAACTCCTTTTGCCTTCGAGTTCCAAGGGCTATGTATATAGGGTTCTATTACTAGTAACTTCAAACAGACCACCTTTCTTCTAAAGCCTAAGTCCAGAAAAAGCATCATATCCCAATTTTCAGCTGGTTATGGCTTTTAAAATTTGTTCCAAACTGGACCAGAGCTTATCCAATGTAAATCCCTCAAAGGAATTTAAGACACACTACAATTTAAAATATACAACATCAAACACATAAGAACCCTTGGATGAAACTGGAAAAGATATGCAACTCCAGTTCCTTCAAGCATCATTTTGACATGGTTCTGGTTCCTCTATTTTTTCCAAGAATACCTCTTCATAGATGGAAAATCAATTCCACGCAAATGGAAGAACATAATCAGGGAAAACCAGTATATCACCTTATTGATCATGTTCCATGCCCCAAAACCAGGATTAACACTTCGTTCACGTCCACTATCATGATACTTAAGCTGCAGCAACCAAAACATACAAACATCAAATTTTATAATAAGAAAGGAAGTATGACTTCTCTCGAAAGTACAACATATTGCCATGAAATTACCAATGGAGGAGGCAAAACTCGCGCTTCAACCAATGCAGGTTCCTTTTGAACTTGAATTCCAAATTCTTTATGTACAAGCTCATCTCCCTGGAAATTATTAACCCTCACCATCTGCAGCAACATGAAATGCAGAGAGAAATCATAATTTTTAGTTAATCAACAAAATTAATAAATGCAGCTATGAGAATAAATTATCCAACATTGTTGTACCTTCTGAATATTCGCCTCCCTATCATGTGGGCGTTGACAGGTTGCTTTCAACAGTGCTTTTACTTCTTGTTCATTCAGCTTTTTAGTGTATCTTTGTCCTGCAACAATCCTACACAGCTGTACAACAAACTAAATCATATAGGAGAAAAGAGCGACAAACATCAGTATAGAAAGTTGTTAGAAAACAGAAAATAATCCCATATCCATATAAAGTGAAAACCTCCATGGGCAAGTAGACAGGTTTTGCTTCACTTCCACATTGAAGGGCAGGCAAAGATGCATATTTAAGCACAATGTTGTATTTATCACGGAAATACTGAACCACAGACACATTTGTTCTCTTGTCGTCAAGAGTAAACCTAGAAAAGCCAAAAATTAGACAAAAGGATAATGAGCCTAAATAGAAAGAGAAAAGGAATTAGATTAAAAAAAAGAGAATTAAATTGTGACAATATAACAGATACTTAGGGAATACAAATGAAATATCACAATTATTTACTTATTACAGAAATCTTCATTCAAATTTTTGTAATCTACTTTTCTAAAAGCATCATCCAAAAAGGTAGTTTAAGGCCCTTCCACAACAATGATTGTAGCTATTGACTCGCATATCTAGCATAAACTATATTTTGGAACAAGTAGATTATGGCCAAATACCAACAATTATGAAATGCAACTAAAAGAACTCGAATTATATTTGAATGAGCTACTCACTTAAGTAGTAATCATATAAGACATCCACAAGCAAGCATATTATAACAGAAGTCACCCGAAAACAGTTCTACCACACTGGCCCATAAATGTACCTTAATACTTCAACTATTTATGAGCAAGTATAGTGATATAACAAACTCACGTTAACTGTCTTATAGGCTCTCTAGATATGCCAACAATCTTGCAAGCTTTTGCATACTCCATGTGGTTAAGTTCAACCCTTACACCTTTCAAGGCCTTTTTCACCTAAAAATCATGGCAACAGAAGCAACATAAATTAAATTTCAACCACCTTAATGTACAAGGACTGAAGTAAATAATTAACTAGATGCAAAGAATAGTTAAAAAAGAAACATAAGGTGAATGACACTTTGATACGATCTTGATCAGACAGAGGCCTTGACAGGTTTGCATGCTTTAAATGTTTTGCAACAAACTCAGTAACTAAAATTGGCTCGTAGAATGATCGAGCAGACACATCTGTAAGTGAAACCAAACATTTCAAACCAAAAATCAGTACAACTACAACTAAAACAATAAGTACAACTGATTACACAAAATGTAAAATGCAAATAACAACAATCATGGAGTAGCTACCAATATTAAGAGATAAACCCATCTGAGTAGGCCGAAGACTCTGATAATATCCCATCCAGTACTCCATTCCATTACCAAGATCTCCTCTAGGACCAAGTTGTGGACTGAAAAATGACCTTCCCACCACAGTAAAACTGGAAAAGGAAGTGTCAAATATATTAATCTGATACAGAGGCATATAAGTTTGATTTCAGATATTTAATTACAATAAATGCTGAACATTCTTAGATAATCAACAGGAAAGTACTTCATAGATGGTGTAGCCCTAAGAACAACATCCAGCACTTGAATAGTTTCTTGAGGACATTCGAAATATCTTCTGCACAAGAACTCCCGCAGATTATGAAGGTCAGGCTTGGATGCCAGTTTGATCGCCACCTTAAATTGCCTTTCCTTCCTGCAAATGACAGATAACCAGACAAATCACCCTTAAAGAACAACGATACCAAGTAAAAATAATAATGAACATAGACATCATCATAATATACACTAATATTACCTTGCTGAACTAGACGAACTACCGCCACGATCTTCGTCGATTAACTTTACAACAAACTCCTTTGACTCAAAAGGCAAAGCACCAGCTGTGTACAGGCTCTTCCGGCCATCATAGGCTGGACACCGACGACCCAGATGTGACTCCTTGTACATCTTAGTTAGTAGTTCCATTATAGCTCTGTTCACCTTCTTTGAGGTTACCTCAGGTGTTATAGTAACCTATAAAGAAACAAAAGCCATTAAAAGAGAAGGGAAGAATATGCAAAAGTAAACATAGATTGCAATGAGGTAAATAAATAATCGAACAGAAGAAACCACTAAAATTAAATGAAAAGGACTAAACAAAAAGTGTAAATAATTTAAGCAAATATTAACAGTTAAAATCTCCTTAAATTTAAAACAACAATCTATAAATGAAATTACTAAAAGCCTTCCACGTACGGAAACGTCAAATCAATAGGGAAGAGAGGGAGCCGCTTACATCGTAGTGATGAAGATCTCTATTAGCAACATTAACCAGGAAGTGATTAGCTCTAACTCTGCATTTTCTACCAATCGTACCAAACCCGGGTCTTTCAGGGAATCCAATAGCCTTCGAAGACAACGGACGAAGAGGAGCCGTCATCGTCGTAGCCTCCGGTTCCAATGTGAGCTTCTGGGAGATCTCCCTGCTCAGTGATTCCGCACCAGAACTCGACGAAGGATGATACACGGGAGCCGTAGAGGTAGAAGGCAAAGATGGAGGAGGTGGCCGAGATGGAGCCACCTGAGGAGGAGGAGGAGGAGGAGGACCTGAGGGTCCACGTTCCCTGATAGAATCACGACCTCTTCCTCTAGCACCACCACCACCGCGAGGGAAAGACTGCGAGGGTTGACCGCGACCAGAGTTCTGTCCCCGGCCTCGTCTACCACCTCCACGTCCAGACATTGCCGTTAAACAATGGGGAAACTAATAGCGTAAAGAAGAAAATTGAAACGGTGAGAAACAAAAAACAAAGCTAATAGCGTCACCAGCAGAGACTTTTGAAACGCCCGCTTTAGATATCGAGAGAGAAGCTGAAGAGGTTGGGAATCATTATATAGTTGAAGCAGAGAGGAATTCCAGAAGACGTGTAAAAGTTGACCCACTCTATGGGTCATCTTTATGTTTAGATGACAAGATTATTATTTTATTATATTTTAATTTAGTATTTAAAATTAAAAATAATAATTAATTTTTTTGTTATACGCATATTTTAACACTCATTCATATTCAGAATTTGAATAATAATAATATAATTTTTATATAAAATATAATATAAATACAAAAATTTTAATATTTATCTGAACGTAAATTCACTGACAATCCCGTCTATTGCGACCGCTCTATCCTAGATCATCTGTAAATGACTACTAGTTAATGACGAATTTGCCCTCGTACTTAAAAAAATGTCGGAGGAGTCCTACTGAATTCTTCTTGTGCACAAAAACGAAACCTTAACTTGAACGAATTTGTCGCAGTAACCTTTTGTCGAGCTTTGGCATTTTTGCATTGCACTTGTAAGGACACGGAACCGAATCCGAAGGGTCAGGTTAGGGTTGTCATTTTCTTACCAGCTTTTTCTTTTTTCTTAAATATTTCGAAATATGCAATAAAAATTATAAAAAATATGTAATAATATTTATTTTTTATTTATTTATTTATTTTAATTAAATTATAAGATGCGAAAATATGAAATATATATATGCAATAAGGAAGTGACAAAGAGTCCAATAATGCATGTTGCCTAAATGGTTTAAGCCTCGAATCCTTCATGGCCAATTGCAAAGCTTAATAAAACGTGAGCAAGACCTACCAATTGTGTTTTTTTTTTTTTTTGAGGAAGAGGGTTTTTAAGTAAAATAATACTACTAATTGCCTATATAATATGGTCACTAGTTATTAATTAATTACATCTTAATTAATATAATAATCCATATTGGATTATTATCTAAAACATCTTTCTTAATTGTAATTAATTATTGCCCATGAAAGACATATCCATAAACGTTGAATCTAAATAATTAGACTTTGGATAAAAATATTAGTGGAATAATAGAATTTAAATAACTCGATTTAATCAAAATAATTTTGAAAGGTAAAATTCAAGCCAATTAATAAATAATGTATAAAAATAAAAAAAATCTAATTTACCTAAAAAACGATCAAAATAAAATGAATCAATATGTGAATTTTACAAATAAATTACAATAATACAATATTTTAAGCTTTTATACAAAACTTAAGATTCTAAACAATTAAAATAAGACCATAAAATTATCTTTTTTAAAATATACAATCAAATCTCTTAGATATTTATAGAATATTATGACTTTCATAATCAAAATGTTTAATAATTGAGTTTCTAAACATAACTCAATTATTGAATACTTGCTCTTCTATGTTACTCGTTTTGTTTTATAGTTTACCCAATAAAATCGGAGATGAGATGGGCACTCGATGGACCTTCTTGACACGTGCCATTCATCAGTGCTAAGTTGATACTATATTAGAAACGCAATTAACGAAACGAGAAAATAAAAGGGAAAAAAATTAATGCATTATTTTCTTGGTAAGTTGCAACCAGTGAGCGGAGGTGCCGATGCGATGATTTCTATGGAGTTGGTAGACTTATGGTGGGCTCCATCATAGAAGATTATTTTATTTACTGTATTTTTTGAATTTATTGAATACAGTTTAATTTATTGGCCCAAAAAAATGCTTTTTATTTTTTAAAATTAAAGTGGGGACCATTTCCGTACGATCAATGGAGGCAAAAGGGGAAGGAGCAAAAGTGGAAATCCAAAAAGAAATCCGATGAAAGGAGGAAGGAATGCCTTGCGATTCTTCCGAAGGAAGGAGCTTTTAGAGAGGGTAATTGCGAATTTACCATAAAATCCTCCACCGACGGAGCACGTTTCCACTGGTCCTGAATCTTGGAGACTTTCGACCAATAGGAAAAAGTTTAGTCAGCATCTTTTCTTGAGCATGAGCACACCGAATAATTTCTAGTCAAAACTTGTCGAAGAAGTTTTTAAGACGATCGTGATCCAACGGCTTTTACTTCGAAACAAGGTTTTTCTTAGTGGGACCCACCAGCCGTCCGATCCTCTGGAGATATTGGGAAAGAAAAAAATGTTTCTGACAGAAAAAAAAAACACTGACTTCTTTGTTCACCCCTTTTTTTTCCTATATATAATAACTTAGGAGGAAATTCTTTCATATCCCTTCCTTTGTTCAAAGTTCAACATTTTGTATTGTTTCGTTACAAAATGAATCTGAAAATATGAAGCATAAATGGAAACACAAATTTAAGTCATTTGACCATAATTCATGATATTTATTTTATTAAACAAAATTTTGACTTTGTTTAAATTTCTTAATATTTAACTAAATTAATATAAGTATGTACATTACTTCTTAAAAAATCAAAATCAAAATTTTAATTTTTAAACCAAACATTTTATTTAAAGTTTCGAATATATTCCCGCACTCTGTTAATGCATGTGTTAAGTAAAGTATAAAATATACACATTATTTATTAAAAATTTTAATTCAAATTTTAATTTTCAAATCAAACTTTTAATTAAAGTTTCAAAATTATTCCCTTGTTATGTAAATGCATATGTTAAGTAAAGTATAAAGTAACAAGTAGTGGTTAGATAATAATCTTGTTTAAAGTTTGATTTTTGAATATGATGTTTTGTTTAGTTGAATTATGTAATTATTTTTTAAATTAATATTTAATAAGTTTTAAGTTCAAATTATAATATTTTTAATATAAATTTTATTTTTAAATTGTAATTTTTATAAAATATATTCTTTTATAAAGTAAAGTTTTTATCCTTACTTTAATTTAATTTATTATTTACGTATCTTATCTTTTTTTTCTTTTGACTTAAACCTCTAGTTTTAGTAGCATACAGAGATCTAGGTGATCAAGAATATGACTATCCGCTGGTCAGCATATAACATTTTCCACGTTTCATTGGACATCTTAAAAAAAAAAAAAGAAAAGTAACTCTGAACTTTTTTTTTTACTTTTCTTTTTAAGTGATTATAAATTAAAATATTAAATGTTGATGTAACTTTTTATAAAGGTATTTTATCATTTGCTTATCTTTTCCTTTGACTCTCCCATCTCATAGAAATGGCATAGGCAAATGGGAAACCTATGCTAATGGTCATTGTCCATTAATAATCAGCAATGGTATGAACTGAAGGTAAATTTTTTGATATTTTGTTAGTAGAATTTCTCAACTTTATTAGTAAAATTAAAGTTAGTGTGATGATATAAATTTTTATTAAAATTTTAAATATATTACAAAAATATATATATCATTTTTTAACTCTATTTGTAAATATAAAAAAATTTATACTAATAATGTGTCTAATAATTTTTTAAAATTTAATACGTGTAAATCTTGATATTTTTCTACACTTTTTATATTTTATTATTTTATAAAAATTATAATAAATTTGTAATATAAAAAAATAAATATTTAAATTTATTAAATGTCATATTAGACTAAACATCATGTATTGATGGTAATACCATTAACATATTGCCTAAATTTTTATATATTTCTTCATTTATTTGTTATTTGAATTTCGTTACATTTATCAAATATCATATATTGGAGGATGTTAAAAGAATAAATAAAAGGGTAAATTCTATTTGTTTGTTGGAAAATAACTATAAGGTAGAAAAAGAAAATACGTCATCAAATTTTTAATTTAGTAATTAAAGAAGTGTGAAAGGATATCAAATACTTAATTTTAAATTAATTTTTTTATTTGTTTTAAGATTTTACTTTGATAATGTAATAAAATATAATAAAAAAAAGAAAGTACGGTAAAAGGAACGTGATGCCACAAAGTTAATGTATATGTAAATATGAATGATGTATGTATGTATGTATGTTAATTGATCGATGATGGAAGTCTAAAACATTCTTTTTTTCATACACAAAGAAAACAAATCCTAAACCATGTTTGGTTTTTTGTTCTTTTTTGCATGAGGAAAGATTCCATTACTCCCAGACAAGGTGCTTGCTGTAACAAGCAAGACAAATTTTCTTGGTTTTACTTATTTGAGCATCAATTCTTACCTTTAGCAACGATAGAACAATTTTCACTATTGTTTTTTATAGTTTTGACTTTGGACACTCTGAAGTTTGTCTACGTTCACTGTTCAAAGTTTGAACTTCCCGGTTAAACTTTTTTGATGATAGGTTTTTTTTTTATATATATATTGTAATAATTGATAATGATATAATTTAAAATTTTAATAAAAATTATATATAAATTAAAAAGTAAAATTATATATTTTTCATATTTGATGAATTATAATATAATAATATTTATATTTTATAAGTATTTAATATATGACATTAATTTTTTTTTTTTTACTTTTTACTTGTTATTTTTGGGATAGATTGATGGAATGAACAAATACAATTTTTTTTTTTTTATTAATTATTCTTGAGGTGACTGATGGAATAAACAAGTTTAGTCGAGGAAGAAAAACCCATTGGAAGAAGGAATGGAACAAATACTTCACCCTTTGTGGGATTTTGGCACAAATTCTGTTCACTAAGTTATCTTTCATTGACAGCGAAGGATAGTATTTTTCTCTGTTACCTACTTTTCACCACACGTTTCCACATGAACCAAAAAAGACCAAGATTAGAGATTAAGTTAGTTCCTCGCAAAATTAACCACACCCTTTTTTTTCCCCTAATTTAATTAGGCAACTTCATTTAGAAATTTAAGGAGTAGCTCTTAATTTGATTTGGGAGGCTAATTTGGGTTGGCTCAAACAATTAAAATTTAAATTTTTAAAATATTTTTATATTAAAATTTTTAGAATTTTTATTAATAAATAATTTATAAATTTTATTTATGAGTTGATGATTTATTTTGATTTTAAATATGAATTAATCTTTTGTTTTTATTTTTTATTTTTTTGACGTGGTAGTAAGTGAAATCAAATTATAACGTAATCTCAACCAAATGGATTTCCTTGTCAAAATCAAATTTGGATCAAACTACTTGAAAAAAGGGGTTTCACTAAAAGATAGCTATACTATTTTCGTCAAACCAGAGGACCCACTGAAACTATAAATTAATTTATTATTAGTCAATAAATGATGTAGTCAATTAATACTAACAACTCCTTGCCAAGATGGAAACTTTTGGGTCTCCATTTTTCAGTCTCGTTTTGGTCAATATAAGATAACGTAAAACCAACTCCCAATGAGATAAGCTAAGGTCCTATCATTGAATAAATTATTTATTCGTAATTAGATATATTTATCCAATAAAACTACTTCATTGCCTGCACGAGTGGATATTTTGTGACAATAAAATTAATTGATAAATTGTGAAAATAATAAAATTATAAAGGAAATAATATTTAAGAAAATTTTTATTTTATTGTTTGAAATATAATGGATGATTTTATTGATCATTCATGGATAGAAACATCCAACATAATAGAATTACTAATAACATTTGAATATTCCTCATCCCACTGCAAATCTGCTGAAAGAAACATTAGTAGCTTGAAAAAAGAAATTAGACAGATAACATAAAATAAAATAAAAAATAGTGAAAACCAAAATGTTAAAGTAAAATATTTATATACACATATGATTTGATCTGCACAAATTCTAAGATTTTAACGTTTAATCCAGTGAAAAAAAAAAATTAACATATATATTGGACCAACATTAAGAAATCAAAACAGAATGTAACATGTGGATGTGACATGCGACCTATGGACATAAATAAATGTTTTAGATTTATAAGGAAAGAAAATTGTTTTCATCTAGGCAGCATAAAATAACAGAAAACATATTTGGTTGAAATTTTGTTAATGATCAAGACAAATTGTTCTGCTTAAATTACAATGTTTGTCATAGTAAAATATCGGCTGTAAAATCATTTACAAATTACAATATTTTTTCACTCCAGTGAAAAAGATTTCAAATTCACCAAACAGACACAGACAAGCATAATTTGCACTCCAGTGAAAGCAGCAGAGTAGCATTGTTTCCAAATGAGCTACGATGTTCATTTGCAGACTTAATTACTGCACCCAATGAAGGCTATTGAGATGATAGAAGCAACAGCAGGCTGGAAGTATAGGCCCATTAAGTGAATGATCCGATTGCACCTTCCCCACCCAGCCCAAACACCAATGAAACTTTTTGGTCTAGTGGTAAATAAGCACCCATGAATAGGACTTGAAAAGTTTCAAATACTCTTGATTATTTTACTAAATCCCTAAAATACCCCTCCACATAAGAAATAAGAAAGTTTGAACTAAAAGTGTCGAGCTTAAAGATGGCCAAAAGAAAAGTTTCAAGCTTTAAAAATTAAAAGCTCGTAGCAGACCCATGGGACTGAAAACCAAAGACGTGGCTAGCTTTTGGTACATTGATATCAGTGATATCGGATGCTTGTTGCTAGAATTTGAACAATTTGACGGGGGCTTTGGTGGTAGCTATGGTTATGGGAAAGAGTTTATTATCAATCTATTATTATCAGTTGTTCTGGTCATCAGTTGCAAACAAAATAAGTAAAAATATCTTTGAACAATTTATAAATCAAGTTTCTCATCCCGGAATCCAACTCCCTCCACTTATTCCTTGATAATCTCTAGTCGTCCATTACTCGTTGATGGTCCCATTTGGTTAGGCAATGTGGTGCAGCGATGAGCCCCCACTGCATCGCCCCGCCTCATCAAATGGACTTGATCCGGAGGTGCATGACTGAAAATAAGAGAGTAATTTTGAAAATTTGAAATGAGGGTGCAATAAAAGGAATTTGAACATCGATCCTTATAGTTCTCAATTCACAGATTAAATAGTAGGATTCGGAGAATCTGTGAACTAAACAACCACAAAATTAAGCTTCAGATCATCGATTAAGGAGCCGTTTGGGAGCAAGAGCCAGTGTGGTGCGAAAGGCTCCTACGGCATTGGCATTTTAGGAGTCAATCGCACCGCACTGGATGGTACCGTAAATCGGAGCTTAATGCTATTGGCACCTGTGAGCCATTGAGTTCCCAAGTGACAAGAATTACCTCCGTCAATAAACCCAAAAAAACTATAAAAAAAAAAAAAAAAAAGGGAAATGCCCATTGGCCATTAGCATAGCAACAAGGCAAAGTGTGGGGCGCCATTGCGCCAAGATGATATCATTACAAACTCGCGCTTTAATATCTAGGACCCGCCTCAACCTCACTTGAATCTAAAGACAAACGCATATTTAAGCGCGTGTTGCTCAAATCACAAAAATACTTCTCCCGTCTCCCAAAAGCTTAAAGGGCCATCACTCGCTCACTTTCCAAAGATTTGCAATAAAAATTCCTTCCTTTAATTTCCCGGCAAATCCTGCCGAAAAACCCTAATCGTCTCTCATCTCAACAACCTTTCAAATCCCTTCTGACCCTTTCTCTCTCTTCATTAACTCAAATTTCCCATCAAAGTTTCCTCTTTGTTTTGCTCGATTTTTAGAGTTTTGAACTTTTTTTTTGGTTTTATAAAATCTGAATTTTCCAGATTGAATCTGAAAACTCATTTGAATTCAATCAAAGCCTGTAAATTTAACTACCCAATTTGATTTTTTTTGTTTTTTTGTTTTGGGAATGGGTGATGATAAAAATGGAGATCTAAGTGAAGTGAGTGATTACTCATCGGAAGATGAAGGGACTGAGGATTACAGAAGAGGAGGGTACCATGCGGTGCGTATCGGTGACACTTTTAGGAATGGTTGCTATGTGGTTCAAAGCAAGCTTGGCTGGGGTCATTTCTCCACCGTTTGGCTCGCTTGGGATACTCAAAGATCGGTATTTTCTTCTTCTTTTTATTGCTTTTGAGTTTTTTTTTTTATCTCTTCTTTTTAATAGGCTTTTTGTCAAAATTTTATTTTATTTTTTATGGACATTGGAAAGAGCTAGGGAAATTTAGAGTTGGTTGAACTTTCCAAGTAAGATAAAAAACCAAAGAAAAAGGATTATGAAAGGAGCAAAGAAGAGTTGGGATTTTCACCATTGGTTTTAACTGGTTAATCATTAATAAGGTGAAACAGGTCTTGGAATGATGAGTAAATACATGTATAAGATGTAGGGGATTGGTTCATTGTTTCTTTGTTACAAAAAAAAGGGGGTATATTTCATTTTTCTTGTGGAATTTTTTATTTGGCTTTATTAAGAACAATGAAAGGAATCATTGTAAGGATGTGGGAATGTGCATTGCTTTTGGTTAATTGAAGGGTCTTATTTCTGCAGCTAAAGTTGTGAAGAGTCCAAGATTTGCTTTGATGCCTTTCATTTGCCAATCAGAGATAATTTTCTCTATATTGCTGATTGTTTTCTTGTTGCAGCATTGCTATAATGATTCTTGTCAATGTGCTTATATGTTGTTCTGCTTCTTTTTTAGATTGTAAGATGCTTTGTTTGTTAAATTTTGTCTTTTCTTATGTAGAACTGGATCAGCCATTGCCATTTAATTTTTATGGTCCTACTCGTTAATCACATGAGAATTTATTGCTTGTAGCGTTATGTAGCTTTGAAGATTCAAAAGAGTGCTCAGCACTACACTGAGGCAGCAATGGATGAGATAAAGATCCTCAAACAGATAGCTGAGGGAGATCCAGATGATAAAAAGTGTGTTGTTAAGCTCTTGGATCATTTTAAGCATTCAGGGCCTAACGGGCAGCATATGTGTATGGTTTTTGAGTACTTGGGGGATAACCTTTTGACCCTTATCAAGTATAGTGATTATCGAGGAGTTCCTCTTCACATGGTTAAAGAGATTTCTTGTCAAATCCTAGTGGGTCTCGATTATTTGCACCGTGAACTTTCAATCATTCATACTGATTTGAAGCCAGAGAATGTGTTGCTACTGTCAATGATTGATCCATCGAGAGATCCTACCAAAACCGGTGCTTCTCTAGTCCTTCCAACTAGAAAGGATAAGGTTGTCTCAGAGACTGTTGCTTCAAAAGAAATTAAGAGTTTAAATGGAGATTTGACCAGGAATCAGAAAAAGAAGATTCGGAAGAAGGCTAAGAAAGCAGCTCAAGGTTGTGTAGGAAAGGAAGCTTCTGAGGAGAATAAGACTGATTCCAAGACTGGTGATATAGAAGACACTAATGCTGATGCAAAATCAAATGAAGTTTCTGGTGAAGAGCAGGCAAATAGTTCTGTGGTTAAAGATGAGACAAAAAGTGATGGAATTAACAATGGTAACCAAGGAAAGGAGCGCCATAGAAGGGGGAGTCGTGCAACAAGGGAAAAACTGTTAGCAGAAGTTGATCCTAAGTGTAAATTGGTTGATTTTGGTAATGCTTGTTGGACGTATAAACAATTTACAAATGATATTCAGACCAGGCAGTATAGATGTCCTGAGGTTATCCTTGGATCCAAATACTCAACATCAGCAGACTTATGGTCTTTTGCTTGTATTTGTTTTGAGCTGGCTGCTGGTGATGTTCTTTTTGATCCTCACAGTGGTGAAAACTATAACCGAGATGAGGTATGCAGAAACCATTCTGACCATCCATCTCACAATTTTATTTTCCTTAATTGGACACTTAATAATTATATGTGCCTCTTAATAACTGTGGTTCTTCATGTGTGATAATCATGTATTTGAATTAGTTTCACCATCATCTGTAGAACAATTTATACCATACTAGATCTGGCATTGCTTGATGCTTTTTTTTTCCCTTGTAAGATTGTATGCATCTTGCTTATTCTAATTTGAATGCATTTACATAAGTAATCCATACACCCTTATCACCCTTATGCACAGTAAATAAGGACAGAGAGAGGAGAAAAGGAACGATAAATGATAGTAGAAATTTATTGGGCAAGAACATGAGTTCTATATGTTTTTACCTTAGATTTTATTACCAGCCATAATTTTGTAATAAATGAGGTTTTGTTATGCTTGTTTAGCTTCTATTTTTTGCAGGTTAACTGTAATAATGCAACATATGTCAGTATCAAATCTATAACCTAGGTTTGCTTGGCATTTGCTTTTTATTCAACCCCCAGCAAAACAAAGCTGCTGCTTATGCGTAAAGAAACTAATTGTATGCTTTTATAGAAGAATTTAGTTATTGTTTTCCTCCCTCTGAATTTTTTCTTCTCTCTCTTAACACTTGTAAAAAGTATAAACAAGAAACATTAATCTGATAGGCTTCTTTCATTTGAAGTTGTTTTATGGATGTCTGTGAATGACAATTACTCATTTTCCTCGGAACTTTTCAGCGGCCTTAGATGCACACCAAATAAGGTTACTTATATTTTATGTTTGAAGTAATCTTTTATTTATCCTAAAATAAATTGGCAACCATGTGACTGCCTACTTATGTCCTATTTGTGCAATGGTGAAAAATATAAAGAAATTCTTAGAAATAGAAAGACCACTATAAGTTGAGGTGGGCCCTGCGTACTCTTCATGTTTTTGTTTTATTTTTTTTTTTTCAAGAATATTATTGTAAGTTCTGTAGACAACTAGACATTCTCTTTTCGCCCCATTGACATATATTTCTTATTTGCAGGATCACTTGGCATTGATGATGGAGCTTCTTGGAATGATGCCACGCAAGGTAAGACTGTTATACATGCCTCTCTGAAAGGAGCATGTTTGCCATCGTCCTTTTGTCTTCTTTTTTGTTTAATTGATATGTGTGTTGTTTCAAGTGTACAAGGTTTGTCTTGACTGCTTCACACTGTTAAACCATAAACTTTAAGGTATTGCCCGCGCAATTCTCACTTTTTGAATGTCTTAACAATTTTTCATCAGATTGCATTAGGTGGGCGCTATTCCCGGGATTTCTTCAACAGATATGGAGACTTGAGGCATATCCGTCGGTTACGTTTTTGGCCTCTTAATAAGGTGCTTATGGAGAAGTATGATTTCAGTGAGCAAGATGCTAAAGACATGGCCGACTTCCTCATTCCAATACTTGATTTTGTCCCTGAAAAGAGACCCACGGCAGCTCAATGCCTCAGCCATCCATGGATCAGTGCGGGTCCTCGGCTGCTTGAACCTTCCATAACTGCTCCTGAGCAGCACACAGATAATAATACATCTGAAAAGGAAAGGAAAGAGAAGGATGACAGGGAAGCCATGGAGGCTGGAGTAGGTAACATAGCAATTGATGGAGGAGCTTGAAAACCATTGAAAGAAACACTGCCAAAGATGATTTCTTCTTGTCAAATTCTTTCTTCCTCACTTGCATTACCTTGCCAAATGGTTGCTTCCATTGTTCACGGCGATTCTTTGCGAGTAACATTGCTTTTCCTCGTTTGTATGACATCTAATACTATACCATTTCAAGGGGATCCTGCCTTTTACGTGTTAGGTCTGGTTTTGAAAGAACCTTCTCGAGTATGTGCTCAAATATCAGGGTGCATGTCGCAAGCAAAAGGCTCTCTATGGCGGATGGATCTAATGTTTTTCCCCTTCCATGTACAATCCACATTGTTTCACTAAAGGATTAGTGCATCGACCTTCTAGATCCAGTTGTCTTTATGAGATGCAATCTGTTTGTATACATTTGGATGGAAATGTTTCTTGCTATTTTATTTCTCTAACATTCAAAAAGGAGCTTATGGTTGTAGGACAAAGTTCTTTGGTTCATGGTAGGTTAGCTTGATATGTTATAGCTGGAAAACAGGGTTAAATCACAAAGCTAGTGCTAAATATGCTACTTCCAATTGCATACAGGCTGGGGGAAAAACTAGTCAAATTTTACACTTTGGTAAAAAATAAAAAACAAAAGACAAAAAAATCTAATTTGATGATTTAATATAAAAATGAAATGTTATAAATTTTAGTTGTAAGATCAAAAAAAATTTTTCATTTTTCTTTTTCTCCTCCCAAACAACAAGAAAAAGAGAGAAATCCATGAATGATAGAATGAACTGTGGCTAGTGGAAAGTTGAGTTATAGTGTCCCACAATGGTAGTAATACAGAGTAAGAGTAGGAAAAAAGAGAACGTTCTTCGCCGTTCGTAAGAGAATTGTAAAACGTCTTTAGCCCAGGAAATGGTAGAGCCTATAATCATTAAAATTTAAATCAATGAAGGGAAAACAAGCCTCATAATTTATTGGTGCTATTCAAGCTATTTATTTTTAAAAAAAAAAGTTCTAAAATTGCCAAGGCATTTTGATCGAGAGCATATATGGCCCAGAGGATACCTGGAATATTGCTCTCATGTCCTTGTTTTACATGCTGAAAAGGCATTGCAAGTTGATCAACCGTTGCTATCTGCAGCTTCAAAGAACTACAACTTTTGCAATCCGCCTAAACAATCATTCTTCTAAAGATTACCTACCACTATAATTATAACAATCACAGCACATCATGCACTTTGGAGACAGGAATCTTTGCTTTCGAATTCACCTGTCAAAAACACAGGAAAGATCAGCTTCAAGGAATTATAATGCATTTAGATATAATGTATTTAAAAGTTTAAATACTGGAAAAGCACTGAAATATTAAATATGTTGATTAAATTAACTATTAACAGGTTCTCTATAATTACATAAAGGAAGAGAAGAAAGCTAAAGAAAGATACTAGGGAAAGTGTAAAGCCTTCTCTTTTCAAAAAGGGGGAATCTGTTTCAGTACATAATTTGGAAGGTTTAATCACTTCTTGCTATATGAGGGGCACTGGTTCCCACTCTTTCATCTTCTTCCCCATGTTATAATTCATAATACCATAGTGAATGTTTGGCTTTTGTTCAATATTTTCCTCTTCCTATTTTAAGATCTACAAGGGCTAGTAGTAAAATAAGTTTTAAGGTAATACACAACTTACCTAACTCCTAAATTAAAGTATTTTCCTAGTCCTGAGATATGAATGCATGAGAAAAAACGCCACAACAGCACCAACAAAAATCCCTGCTGTGGTTAGCCAGAAGGCAAACTGCACCACATCAAATATAGGGTAAGTTAGCCAAGTGAAAATCAACTTGATACAAAAATGTTCAAACTTTTATTACAACATACCACATGTTCTTCCAGATAGGACCTCAAGTTCATGCCAAATATACCTGAAAACAGGAAATATAATCTTAAGCCTCTTTAGGTGGATGCTCATAATTGCTGCTAAAATTCTTGAAGAAACATTTCGCTGTCCAATGGAATAAATGATTTCAAGAATGGAATCAGAACAAATTTATGCCATTCATGCCACAAATAGTAAATCAAGAGACATACATACATCTCCGTCAGCCATCAGTGTGACAACTTTTTTTGTCCTTTTCCCTCTTTAACTAATCCCAAACTTGAGCAGTTTCTCTAGGTCCCATTCCTTCCCACATAACCAAAAAAACAAACAACAAAACTATCACCACATTTCAAATAATAAATCCATGAACTAGTTACAATCACTGAACCAATTTACAATTTTATTTGCCACATAATGATTAAGCATTCTAATGAATCATGATTTGTGGCATCTAAGATTTACAGTTTCTATATTGGACAAGCCATGGAGATTCTTACAACCAGGTATCCCTCAATGATTAATCATGTTCTTGTTTTAGCTGTCATTCAGCAATGCGCTAATGTCATTATTAACTGAATCACAACAATCTAAACAAGTCATGTGGATAAATACAAGCATAACCAAGTTTATCAAACAATGATTATGTTAAACTATTCCTTGGAGCATGTAAAAAATAGATGCTTGGCTTCTATTTTCTTGCTGGTGGAAGGACAAACCTGCAACTAGAGCACCAACTGCAACACAAAATGCTCCAACCTGAAGAAGTAATTCCACTCTGCTTACCTCAAGCCTTCTAGCGCTGATAAAAATAATTAAACAACCTCACTTTGTTAGTTAACGAAGTGAGGATTCAGATGCAAAAGAAAGATTTACTAGAATTGATTCTGAAAACTCAATTCATCAAAATCACAGATAAGAGGGGCATAGGATTTTGGAGAATAAAGTATTGACAAAACCCCAAATGAAATGGTGATGCTGACAACAAAATGTAAATCAAACTTCATCAAGACCTTAGGTTGACAGCAATAGAATCTTCCATCTCTTTTGCAGAATCAAGAAGCCTTTCTGCCTGACCATGGCAAGATTCACATCTGCAAAATGCAATAAGGCGTTATAATTGAGTTCTAGCTAAACAAAACATGCCCACAAATAAATAACTAGAGCAGTCTCAGAAAAACAAAACCCTTTCTGCCTGGCCATTGAAAATGCAACCAACAGTCAGCCACTTCTAAGCAGTTGTACTTATTCCTTTATGTTAAACCAAACCTCAAAATGCATCTTATTTATCTAATTTATTTCTTATTCATATCATATAGAACTGTGGACCTTGTAAAGAGCTCTTGCAACCCAACTTGAAGACTATCAAGAACAGTAGAATGAAGAAAATAAATGATAATCCTATTTGATACAAACTACATACTAGATATGCACCACAAATAGAACGAAGGATAAACCTTTGAAGATAATTTTCCAAAAGCATCTCAATCTCTTCCTCCTCTTCTGCAAAATGACCAAATCAAACCGATTAGAACTCTTGTTGAAACAAATTAAAAATGAGATTATGAGTACAGTTTACCTTCAGCGATCAACTTTTCCAAGGGTACAGAACATTCCACGTCATCATTTCCCTTTTTAAGAGTACAGTTTCTTCCCATAATACATATACGACGTATTTCATGGGGATCCTCCAAAAGATCAAGCAGCATTTGTCTAAGAGCCCCTGCTCTTGAACCCAATTCAACCTTGAATGATAAATGAAAGGAAAAGGATAATAATTTGAAGAAAAGATATTTAACTATTTATTGTTATGCAACTAAATAAGATTTTGTTAAGTTAATATACCAAGGTCTGTTTGCTTATACGAAGTTGCTCCAATATGTCACCGGTTAATTTGTTAGGCAACTCTTCGAGCAGAGCTTGTACCTATGCACATGGAAGAGTGCTAATAATGATTAAACAGGTTCATACTGTCGCAAACTATCACATAATGATACTGTAAAACACATGGCACTCAAAGTACAAAATTTTTAAGCTCAGAGGGGAAGGATTTTGCATTATACACATTCAGGAAATGGAAATTAAAATAAAATAACATGATAAAAGATCGCTCGTAGCAATTTCAAGTTCTCCTTCATTAATCACAGTGGAAATAATAAATTGCTAAGGTGTATAAATTCTAGGTAAAATGTATATTCTAATTTGATCAAAGAATTGTAACTTCTCAGAGAACAGTTCCTCAGAATAAGATGAACTATAAGAATAAGTAACTCTTTCAAGCAAGCTTGGAGTACATGGTAATAACCCAAAACAAGACTTGCAAATGAACAAGCTAAGCACCTCATGCGTGAAGCCCTAGCTTAATAAATAAGCTTTGCTCATTCAAGCTTATATTTAGTGCAAGCTTGACTCATTTGCATAGATAAGCTTAGTTTAAATTGCTTTGCAACAACCTTCTGCACAATTATTCTAAAAAGGAAAAAGCATTTTTGTTTTTATGAAATTAAGACAACGGTATAAGGATCTTAGGTATTCAATAGGCACCAATAGGCTAAAAAAAAGAATATTACATACACATCTCATATCATCTAAATGAGCCTAGCTAATAATCAAGAGTTTCTCAGTAGCATAAACAAGCTCAAGTGCTAAAACACCCTCCTGCTCAAACTTGGCTTAGTTAACAAAATGAGCCTCAATATCAAGCTTACACTTGTTTATTAGATTTAATAAACAAAAATAAACTAGCATTTTCAAGTTGATTAAGAGCAACATGGTTCACTTGCAGCTGTCTGAGTTAGAAGGCAATTAGCAACACAAAAAAAGGGGAACAAAAATGGTTACTTATACTTCTCAAATGTTTTCAATGATAATTTTAACTAGAAGGCCAATGAGTTCTAAGTGTATGAGAGAGAAAATAGAGTGGGAAGAGAATGTTCATAAATGGCAAAAAGACATGGAACTACCGCCCATAAAGAATTTCTTCAATCAGAAGTTCTTTCCTATTGTACAGCCACTTAGAACTTGAAAACCAATGAAAACCATTTTCTACTGAAATTTGCTTGCACGCAGTATAGCAAATGTCCAGGGGACTGGTGGTGTCAGCTTTAGGACTTTGTCAATTCAACATAAAGCTTGTAAAAGAGATAAAGAAAATGAAAAACAGGAAAAAAACAAAAATTTATACTCACTATGTTTCCATACTCACACGAGGTTCTAAATCCATTAGTCTCTGCTCTAAGCGCTGTATCCATGAAAGTAATGCTGCTTCAACAACCTGAAAGTACCTCACCAAAAGTCTCTCAACAAGCTCAGATGTTTAAGATTATAGCTTCTACCTAGTGAACAACACATAAATCACCTTCATACATCAGCATTTAAAAGCAAGGGTCCTGAGTAAGACACAAACCTCAAGCTCAAATGGCATACAAGGCCCTCCATTCATATCATTCAGTCGAGGCAACAATGTGTCCATAAAAGCCTTTCCACCTTTACTGAAAATAAACAACACATGCAACAGGCATCATTGTCAGTACACAAAAAAGCTAGATGAATTGATAGTAATGATGAAACAATGAGAGTGTATTTGCTCTTGCAGAAGAAGAGATTTACCAATTATGGTCAAATATAAGAACACATTCTTTCATTGCTATTGCTCGTAATGATCCCAGATTAAGTAGAATGGCATGCTCACGTACCTATAGCATGGAACAGGGAAATATACGTTTTCAAACACAGGGAAACTAAAGAAACACACCAATACTCAAATCAAATCCAAGCAACCAGCACCAAGCATGACAAATAAAAGAATTATCATTACATATAATGACACAAGCGTCTATTACCAGAAGAGATGGTGCTGAGTTTGTCAAAAACAATGATGGATCAACACTCCGGATATCTCTTGGACGAAGGCCTAAGAAAATAAAAAAGACAAAATTAATCCACAATAAATAAAGAAAACATCCTTTTTTTCTTCTTCAATTAAAGCTTAACAACCAAGTAACAGCTAAGGAAAGAAAACATTACCACTAGATTTCAATAACTGACGTCGGTTTATCTTCCTTGTAGATACTACTCCACTTGCCTTCACCTCTACCACCTTTAAAGATTGAGAAAAAAAACATAAAATTAAACATGAGAAATAAAAATAGGGTTTAGGGTTTAGGGGAATGCGACTCCATAAATCCTAAGAATAAATAGAAAATTACTAACTAATAAATTGTTCCGGCGCTAATAAACCTTAAAACGTTATTAATAGCACACAAAATCATAATACATAATTGCATGCAACTGCAACTAAACTGTATTGATGCTCCAATTTCTTAGGGTTTTTTTTTTTCTCAGAATATCTTACTCTTTTTTTTTGAGCAATAATTTCTCTTGGATTAGAAATTAAAATAAATTTTGTTTATCTTCCAAAAAGAAAGGAAAAGAAAGAACCTCATAGACAGGCTCACGAATTCCAAGCGTGAGAGAATCACTGGAAGACGAGGTGATCCCCTGCGTCGCAACCACAGAACGCTGGTGTTGCTGCAGTGTCGGATCTTCCCTCCCTCCATCATCGTCATCATCACCGACATTCTCAGCGGCCAATCTTTCCGGCTCGTTCAAACGATCTTCTTCCGTGGATGATCTAGCGAAGCACTTGATCTTCTTAAAAGACGGTCTCACTACGACCGGAAGTAAAGGAACTCCGGTCTTTTGAAGCAAGATAGGAGAAGCGTTTTGCCATGGAGATCCGAATATAATATAATGTACGGACGGGGAAGAAGATTTAACAGAGAATTGGAGAAGATTTAGATAAGAAGAAGAAGAAGAAGAGTGAGTTAGCGCCATTGTTTTCTTCTTCTCGTAAGAGAAGAAAAGAGAATCTGGTTTTTGCTTTGAAACAACGACGTTTTTTTTTTTTTTTTCTCCCTCTTGGATTGAAAATATAACTCGGTGGTTTTTTCTTTCTTTACGGAAAAATGACCGTTGCAGATGTGTAGTAATTTGTGGCCACAAACATTTATTTTTGTATTTTTGGTAAAAAAAAAAAGTTGAAAAAGAAGGAACCATACGAGACCTTGGAATTACCACCTGGCTCGCGCGTGCGCGTTGTGGTTAAGCGTCCTTTTTCCTTTTATTTAAGACGTCTAAACGAGGAATAATCCTAATTATAAGTTTAGATTTTGACACGTGTGAGTGGATATACAAACGTTCAATAATAATTTATACTACAATTTTTTTTTTGTTAATAGTATAATTTTGCTCCACTTATCTATTTTTATTTATAATAAGTAATTTAATCCTAAAGTACATCGGAGTAAAACTTTTTAACGGTTGTAAGGTGCAACAAAATTACCAAAATGCTCTCCGATATGATAGAGAATTTTTTAATGGTACTAGTTATTGCCACTCGAAAATGTTTTGAAAACTAACAATGAGAAAAAATGTAAAATAATTTGTATTTAATAGATTTTGATTTGATTTAATTTTATAGGTTTTTTTTTTTAAATTGAGATTAGATTAGATGAGAGACTTTTTTTTTTTTTTAATATGATCAAATTGGTGACTGGTTTTAGGATGCTTTACTTTGACTAACTTAAAAATATATTTAATATATTTTTATTATTTATTTAATTATATATAAATTATATTAATAAAATTATTATTTAATATTTTAATTTAAAATATTATATTTATATATAATTTGCAAAATCTCCTTCGTTAGTATCGATTTATATTTTTAAAGTATAAATCCATAAATTTTTTTATTTAGTAAAATTTTAAAATAATTATTCAATATTAAATAACTATTACATATATAATATTTATTTAAAATACAGACATATACGAGTGAAGCTACTTGTTAGCTATTTGGCTCAAGTTCAATTTATTTATTATCGGTTCGAGTTATAGTCACTTGAGTAATAAGTTAAATAAATTTGATTAATTTTACATTTTATTTGAAAATTTCATAAATATAATTAAAATTTTATTTTTTAAATATATTTAATTTACATGTGTAAGTAAATGAAAAATTATATTTTATTTAATGATAATATTTATAATTTTATTGAGTTTTAAAAAAATAATCAACTTAATTTAATGACTCAATTAAATTAAAAATCATAATTGATCATGAAAATGAAACTTGATATTCAAATTTGAATTTCAAATTCTTGAATAGAGTCAAACTCAAATATATTAGCGTACCAATTGATTACACTCTTAATTCTAAATTATTCATTATACTTATCTTTCTCTTTTTTTTATAGTTTTTTTTATCATAAAATATAAAAAATTTTATTTTATTATTTAAAAAGAATCTCATTTTAAGGATATAAAGTAATAGAATTAATATTTTAGTTTTTCACACAAAATTATTAGAATAAAAAAACACATTAAATCCATAAAAAATAAATATTATTTTATATATATAAAAGATCCAATAGTATATTAATCCAACAAATTAATATTTATTCTCGAAAGATCAAAGGCCTATTTAATTATGAAATATAAAAAATACTTACATAACTCAAAAATATTTGAATTACTTGTTATCTCCCCATGTAAGCAACTTTAATTTTGTGTTAGATTTTAAGGATTCCATGATACAAAGAAAATAATTTATGTATTCCATGGTAAGATCAAGAGTTTCCAAGGATATTACCTATTAAGTTTAAATATTTTCTTGAACTTTTAATTTTTGATATTATTGTAATAATATCTCATGCATTTTATGAAATTTTATTTGATTATTTAAAAAATATTAAATAACAATAAAAATTACAAATAGTGACATAACGAAAATTATTTATGTTATTTTAAAATAAAAATTATGACTCCGATATAATCAAATAATCAAATACTAATGTATTTAAACGCATTAAAATTAAAAAAATACACAATTATTAAACTGTACAAAAATAAATGCAGTCATAATAACATTAAAAATATTTTTGAATACAAATTCAAAATTTTTATTTTTTACTAAAGCACCTGTAAAAAATATATTATATAAACTAAAGTAAATATAAAACGATTGGCCAAAAAAAAAATTCGAAAATCTAAAACAGTGTGTCATTGTCTATCAACAAGGGTTAAAATTGAGCCAAATATAAAAACTAGGGAATAATTACGAAAGAATACAAAAAATTAGGGGTCTAAATTCTAAATTGCAGTTTCATTTAGGGAGAATTCAATAATAGGGAGGGAAGTTCTACTCCATCACACACACCGAAAAAAAAAAAGAAAAAAAGGAAAAAAGAGAGGGAAAAAAAAAACGCTCTGTGGTTTCTCAAAAGAACAAAATCAGATGGCGTCATCAGTATCAGCTCTAACAACAGAAGAAGAGAAAGAGCAAGAACAACCCGAAGAAGGCCGTTTTGTCGCTTCGCATCACCCTTCCGCACCGCCCGATGAGGTTGCAAATCAGTGGCTCTGTTTTCACTTTACTCATCTTTTTTCTGTTCTTCAATGTTAAAATCTCGAAACTAGGGTTTTAGAGTAAATTTGAATTAGGATTGATTTTGTTAATTTAAATTTGAAAACATGCTTGTAATTTTGAATTTATTCAGTTAAGGACTTTTTTTTTGTAGTTATTTGATATTTCCACAACAGTTGATCCGAGTTACGTAATTTCATTGATAAGGAAACTTCTCCCAGTTGATTCAAGAAATGGTGATAATACTGAAATTCTGGGTTCAAATTGTAAAGATGAAGTTGTAAGTTCTTCAAATGATAATTGTAAGAGCATGGAGATTGTTGATGATTTTAGTGAACCTGATTTTCAAGGAGAAGATGAAAAAGATTCACGTCATGGAGGGGAAAATGCTCGTTTATCAGCTGGGGAAGAGGTTTGGGAGGAGTGTGGTTGTGTTCTGTGGGATCTTGCTGCTAATCAAACTCATGCTGAGCTCATGGTACTAGGGCTTGCCCCTTAGTTTGTTTTGTATTTATTGCATTTAAAGTCAAATTAATAGTAGAATTTGTTTTGATTGTTAAAGGTTACTATAGATTAGGCAGATATAAAAATGAAATTCAAAGATGACTGATTGTATTCTTGTTTTGTTTTACGGATGGTTGTTCTATATAATGTTGGTATAAGTCACCCACTTACCTTACGGAAAAAATGATAGGGAAATATATAATATATTGTTGTTTGTTTGGAATTCAGAAGCTTTTAATCTTACACATGGTAACGAATGTGCTGTAGTCTAGACTCACTCAACGATATCTATGCAGGTGCAAAACTTGGTGCTTGAAGTTCTTTCAGCAAACCTCATGGTTACCCAGTCTGTTCGTGTCACAGTAGGTTCCACATTTGCTCCTGTTTCGATGTCCTATTTTAATTATGCAGTTGGTAAGTGGGTAGCTGTGAGGGACTTTGATGTCATCATTAATGATACTTTTATATCATTTTTTTGATCAGGAGATTTGTCTTGGAATCATGGGAAATTTAGCCTGCCATGAAGTTCCCATGAAGCATATCATTTCTACAGATGGACTAATTGCTGTGATAGTAGATCAATTATTTTTGGATGACACCCAATGTCTTTGTGAAGCTTTCCGGTAAATTCTTTTTGCTCACATATTATTTCTATTTTTACATGTTATACCAGAACATTAGAATTTCTCTCTCTCTCTCTCTCTCTTGTAATTCTAAATATTTTTATTGCTTTTGCTTTGATGTCCTGACCTTTGTGTCTAAGTTCATTATAGATCTTGGAGGCCATGGTTATTCTAACACTGTTTTATAGCACACTTTTTTTTATTTAACCATATGTATGGTTACAAGGAATTTTGTTGGCTGCCATTAGATTTTACTCTTCCACCTATTTTAATTTCCTTGTTTTTTTCATTTTTCTTTGTACAAGTAATTAGCATATTAGACGCCTAGAGAAGGAGCCATGACCCTTTAAGCGGTTGTTCCTGAAATGAAATTACCAAAGCATTATCCTGCAAGCATATCCTGAACAAAGGATTTTGGAGATTTAATAACGTGTATAAAAGAAATTTTGGATGGTTGAAATAAAGAGAACTATGATTCTTTTGAAAATGTTTCTTCAAGAACTAAAATAATGCCTCCTAGTTGTTAGATAAAGTACTAATATTTATCTTTATTCCTTCTCATTTCCTTTCTTGTCTGTTGGCTCCTCGGGCATATGGTTTTCTTTTTATATGTTGCATCCTTTTCTATTTGTAGTCATGTCTGAATCCATAATGACAACATTGAATATGTTCTGCAGCAGCTCATGATGATCACATGCACATCTAGTTATTTAGCTCGTACTGCTTTTGTGCTGCATACCTTTCTCATGGATTATATTCTGACACAGGCTGTTAAGTTCGGGTCTTCAAGGTGGTGAATGCATAAAATGGGCGGAGGCCTTGCAGTCTGAACATATTTTAAGCCGCATTTTATGGGTCACTGAGAATACGTTAAATCCACAGCTTATTCAAAAGGTGATATCATCATCTATGATCCATTTCTTATGTGAAATCCTGTAAATCTTTATATCTTACACATGCACAGTGGAAATATTTATACCATAACATTATAGGCTGGTTTCAGAAAATGATCTGAGAATTGTGAAAGATTCTTTGTTCTAGCAACCATGAGTGAATGATTTATGTATTTTAATTTTATAGTTTTTTATTTAGTAAAAGGTGGTTATATGAGGATGTTAAGTACAAATTTGCTAGAGAATAGTTGGTTTGCTGTGTGTTCATAAAAAAAGAACATTTACATTTTGGATATTTTGGATCCTATTACTGCTTATTTAGCCCCTCATAGAGTTATGAATAATGCCCTTATGTTTGACAATGAAGAAGGTAAAGTTTGCTAAGAGTATACATTAATACAAGCTAATATATCATTTTTGGATTTTGTTACTATTTTTTTTTTTTTTTGTAAATTCTTGTATCTTTTGTGATGGAATCTAAAGAAGGTTTAATTTTCTAACAGAGTGTTGGACTACTATTATCTATGTTAGAAAGTCAGAAGGAAGTTGAGCATATTCTTCTCTTGCCTTTGATGAAACTTGGTTTAGCAAATGTACTGGTTAATCTTTTAGCTTTTGAGATGAGCAAACTGACAAATGACAGAATACCTGAAAGGTACGGTTCTATCTTATCTGCATCTAAAAGGTGGGAACTTGGTTTGAGTTTAATAAAACTAGTTTTTGGACTATTAACTAGCTTTTCTTATTATTCTGTTTCTTTCTGCTTTATTTTCTAGAAAGATTTCCCTTATTGTCCGACATGTTTTTATGTTTCAAGTGTTTAAAATTACACATCTTTTCCAATTGAAAATTTTTGGGGAAACTGATTTGATGAGCATCTATTTTCTGACAAGCTGATTTTGCACTGGTTCAAATTCCACTTTGGCAGAAGCCTCGTTAAAGAGCGATTATAACATGCTTACAATCATATTGACGTGCATGCTGTTGTGGCTAGTAGTTATGTAATACTGGATAGAATGAAACAGAGTCGGATACAACCGGCTGAGATTTACCAAAAACTTGTTCTGTGCTTGAATTTTTCATTCTTTCAGTAATGTGATTAAGATGTGGAATTTATTGTTCCTTCAATTCTGGTCTGCATGTGGCTTTATGATACTATAGAAAATGTTCATCAATATAACGTAACATTGGATCTGGAATTAGTGGTGGCAAACTTTCTTGACACCGGCTGCAAATGCTAGTATGAATTAATATGAGACAACCAACCGTTTCTTCTTCTTTTGAGGATGATTTTATTGGATAACAAGTTAAAAGCCTCCTATTAAACTGTTTTTTATTTGTATAGATATTGGAATGCATTTCCCTTGATGTTTGGTTTACATTCAATATTAGGTACTCTGTTCTTGATGTTATTCTTTGTGCACTTGAAGCCCTCTGCGTTATAGATGGATATTCTCAGGAAATCTGCTCAAACAAAGAATTTTTCCAACTAGTCTGTGACTTGATCAAATTCCCTGACAAAGTTGAGGTAATTTGCTGCTCTTCTAGAACTATAAAAATTGATATATGATTTAGACTCCGGATATATAAATTATTGGTTGTCTGATTCTTTATCTGTTTCTGAGTGCTTGAAGATTTATTAACTTAAATTGCTTCTTCAAATTAGAGGCTATATTCCTTCCTTTTCATTTCCACTAAATAAAATAAAGACTACTGTGCTTTAGCATCTTTAAATTGTGATAGAAAGCCTGCATCAGGTGAACCCTTTATATATAAGACTTCTGTCTAATTGAATTAAAACATTCTTACTTTTTCCAAGTTACAAGGAGTATTTGTCTTTCTTCCTGGTAAAAAATTGTGTATCATATAATGAACATCATTTGTTGGCTGGAGTTTCACACATTAAATATTCTTGGATGATAATGCTAGCTAATAATGTTTATCTTTCAGGTTTCTACCTCCTGTGTGACTGCTGGAGTTCTAATTGCAAATATTCTGTCTGATGTATCTACTCTGGCTTCAGAGATATCACAGGGTATATTGTTTATGTTTGTTATCAGCACATGCTTCTTTTTATACTCTGATGTTTTCAATAAATCTGGACTATTATCAAATTTGTATGAGTATTGACACCTGGGGGATACCCAGATTTGCCTTTCTTGCAGGGACTGTTTGATATTTTCCCATTTACTTTGGATGATTTAGAAGCACGATGTGCACTCTGGAACATTATTGCAAGGTTACTAGTTCGAGTTCAGGAGGATGAGATGAATGCTTCTAGTCTACGTCAATATGTGTTTATTCTATTGAGCAAATCTGATATAATAGAAGATGATCTTTTTGATCACCAATTTGATGAGAACAAGGAAAATAAGAGCTTGGCCACATGTGGCAGAAGATCAAATGCCAGAACTTTAGCTGTATCCTTTGATTTGACTTTCAAGTAACAAAGCAGTTAATTCTGTGCAAGAAACATTAGAGAACTGCCAATTTATTATGCTCATATACTTGATATTTGTTTAGTACTCTTGCAATATCTTTGTTTCTCCTGACCTTTGCAACAGCTTAGAAGGATAATTAGCATACTAAACAAGTGGAATGATTTAAAGGATTCTGTTGAGAAAGATGTGATGGAGGAACATGCAAATTATGGAAATATTCGTAGATTGTTGGATTGCTGTCACAAATACACTGCGTAATGTCCTTATCCTATCTGTAATAACTACATCTAGCAATGCTTCAAATGATGGTGCTAGACTTTGGGTTTTGTCAATAGTCAATACTCCAGTTAGTTTCTTGTTTACGTTAAATAATTGTAGTTTTATCATAATTCTGCAAAATTCTGATTCCCTATGTGTTATCAAGCTCTGGTAAAATTTTAGCTATAATTTCCACTTATCAGCATACATGATTTCTAAATCAGGTAGTTAGGCCTGGTGAGACACCAAAATCTGATTACATTTTATTGCTGCTTGCTTTTGCTTTTGCATGCACTGATATGGCACGTTACCAAACATGTAATTGACACTTTCATGTTGCAGATCTGATGCTGATTAATCTTTCTATGAGCAATGTCGCATGAACAATCTTTGCTCCTCAATCTTGTTCCTCCATGAGATTCCCTAGTTTCGAATTTGAGATTCCTGAATCACAGCAGAGAACTTTCAGTACCCGAACATTACTTCATTGAAGAATATGATATCCTTGGTTTTGTGGAGGGCAAAGGAATATTGCCGTGAGTTCAGATGCTACAGGAAATTATCATTCCCTTCTATGCTGATAAAAAATTCCAATTCCTTGCAACTGTCTGCTTCCACCAGAAAATTGTCAGCTTGGAATCAACAACTTCATGATCCCTGAGAGGTAGAAGGCATCTTACGGGCAATACTTCCCTGCCATCTCCATTGCACGTACTATGTTTATTTATGCCTTTATGCCATTAAAGGGGGGATCGTTTTTTTTTTCATTAAAAGATTCGATTGATGATGATCTGTACCAAACTGGTTTACTTTAATAGTTGAGGAGATGCAAATTAAAAAGAAAACGTAAAACAGCTGACCATCTTGCCTCTTGCACGATATCCTTTACCAAAATTAATATAATTTAAAAAAAATGAGAATCATGGAATTGCCTTCAATGAAAAGTAGTCACCTTGTGCCGAAAGTATATTTTTCCATCATGTTTCAGTCGTATGCAGTTAGCCTTTGACATTATTCAACCATATAGCGGCTTTCATTTCCAGCACCGAGGGTTAATGAAAGCTTCTTATCTGCTAGTGATACTGTTTCTTAAAAGTCAGGCTAGTAATTTGAGATTGGAAATATACGCTTGTTCGAAAACACCCATTTCTCAGAATTTTCAATCTGAAGAGACGAGTCAGGGTAATGTTGTTTGAAGTTTGAACTATTGAGGTTTTTTGTCTAAAGTCTTGTTTTTATTGCTCTTTCGAGGGGTGACTTTGGACTAAATTTGTTCATCGATCGGGTTGGATTAAGCTTATGTTTGATATTAACAATTTATTTGCTTACTTCAGGTTCAAAACTAGAGCCTTACAAACAAGTTTGTCCAAGGAATTTAGACATGGGCATACCTACTATATTTTACGATGTTAAGAATAGTATAAACCATAAGAAGAAGCGAATGCAGCCTGTTATTAAAAGAGGAGAAAGGCCTTAAGCCACTGCCTTTTCATACATGGCTGCCCATACAAAAATGGCGTCGGGTGAATGAAATTAAAATGTGCCGTTGAAAATGAGTGGGGCCTGGGGGGTGGCAAATCAAAAGCCTTTTTCCATTGACGTTGGCGGGAATCTCCGGAGAGGCCAAGCTCGACGATGCCGGTGCTATCATCGAGAAGCAGGCTATCGTCGTCGTCGTTTGAGACCAGAACGCCCTGTAAAAAGAAAGAAAGAAAGGTAAAATAGGAAATTTGATTAAAAAAAGGAAATAGGAAAGAGTAAAAAAAAAAGACCTGAAGCCAGGCACGTTGGAGGAGAACACCACCAAGAATCAAGGCGTTTTGAGATGGAATTTCTAGAGCATCTTTCAGTTGTCCGCATAGTAGTTTCAGCGCTTCTAAACTATAGTCCATCCCTGTCTTGTCCTTTGATTTTTTTTCCCCTGTTTTCTCCAGAATTTTTCACATTTTTTCCGGATTCTTTTTAAAGTATTTAATTTAAAATTTTTTTATTTTATACATGATACATTATGATTAACAACTTATGCCAACTTAGCATTTAGTATTAATTTAGATGTATGTATATTAATTCTTGAATGTTGTGATTTTTAGAGGATTTAAGTGTGTAATGTAGATGAATCAAGTATATAAAACTTTGGAGACTAAGAGTAGATCAAAGATTAAAGAAAAAATTATAGTAATCAGTGGGGAAATGACGAGTCTTGGGTTTTTTTTAATAATTTTTTAAGGGTGCTTAGGAATTAGATTAGTACATAGAAAAACAAAAATTAGATGGCTATGCTTATGACATGTCAGGATCAAATTAAAAGATGGTTAAAAGATCTAAGTTAAACGTACCATGGGCAGGTTTGGTTGATAAATTGTTTTATGTTTATATGGAAAATGTGATGCTAAATTTCGTTTTAACCAATGATTTTAAGTTTTAAAAAAATATGAAATATTTTGGTACCATTAGTCAATTTCATTATATTTTTTTACGCTAACGGGTGTAACTTTATTTTTCTAATATTAAATCCTAAGTGTTTGATGGCCAAAAAAAACCCAGTGTTTCAAGTAAAGATGATGCTTGTATTTTGGATTTGTGAGTAGATGACAATGAAAGGGCCCCAATGCTTGGAGAGGATAGAAAAAAATATAGTCGAGAAGAAGAAAAATCTAAGATTTGAGTGTCTCAATTGGCCAAAAAAGAAAAAGATTTGAGGCTTTATTCTGTTTGTTATGTAACTTATTTAAAGGTTGACATGGATTATTACATACTATTAGTTATTAACAAATGGAAAATCATTGTTTCCATCCACAATTCATGTAACAAATAGAAATGTAAATTATAACATAGCAACAAAGAGTTGAACCGAATTCTCCATGACACAACTCAAGTAGGGTTCAAGCGACTATTAACACCAAAACCCCTTTTTGGTTAGAAAATGAGAGAGATTCCACTAGTCAAGAGATCATCAGCTAAAATCTTGTTAGCAGCCTCTGATGGATGGAAACCATCCCAAAAAACATATTCAGATGCATTTGCACATGTTCCAATGGATTTCTGATTGCACAATATTGATGTTTCCAGCAGGCCAGTTCCACAACAAGCCTTTCTTGCCTCTGCAAAACCTGTTTAGACATTGCTTAAACTGTCAGTGCCTTGCCTGGAAATGAAACAATCAATAAGAAAGAAGCTATCTTGGAAGCTAGTTTGATTTTGCAACTACTACATTCTACATTGGAACAAAATGAAACAGTAAATAGTTAAGAAATGATAATATACCATTATCTGCAGGCTTTGTGACAAGGTTGTTGAGAGATTGATAGATGTCAAAGACAACCAAATTAAGGCCAGAAAGGTCTTGCTGCAACCTTTGAGAAGTGGCATTGAGTTTGTTGTTGAATGAAATAGCATTGCTATTTAACTTTGCCACACACTCGTTGCTATCAGATCCAAAAATTGTGATGGCAGCTGGCAAGCACCCCAACGGTGGCAATGTTGTGACTCCAATTTTCCTTGCTCCAAGCCCATACAAATTCTATGACAAAACTTTTAACTTAAACCAAGTTCTAATCACCATATAAAAGCATATATTGGGCCATGGATCTATGAATTTAAGATCCCATAGTTTGAGTTTTGAGGGCTTATAATCTGGTTTTTGTTTTTTCTTCTGAATTAATTGTTTTTCCAAAGTTGCAACAAGCAAAAAGAAAAATTAGTTTCAAAGTTGTTTGTATAACGTATGCATCATCCTCAGGGTTAGGTTTTCTAGATTTCTATTTTTTAAAAATATTATTCACATGAAGATTAACTTTTAATTGTAGAGAAAGGGTCTAAGAGAGACCTGAATGAAATTATCATAGGATTCGATGAGAATATCTGAGAATTGGTCAGGTGTGTAGGCCTTGTATAAGAGAGGATTAATGTAATAGTTCTGAAGAAAGTCACTGCTCCCAGAACTGATGAGATAGATTCCACCAGATATTATTGAAGAAGCATTGGATTTCCCTGCAATTTTTACCAACTTATTCTGGTATTCCTCGTAGTTCTCCAATTGCTTACTCAATGAGAGTGTATGCTGCAAAAACAAAGAACAAATATTAACAGTGCAAAAGAGAAATAAAGAGAATTTTGGGATTTCATTTTTGCTTACATATAACTTTGCTGTATTCTCATAGTAACCAGAGGAAGCTGATGCAAAGTTGGCTCCAATCAACAGGTTCTTTCCTTTAGCATTTTTGCTGAGATAAGCTGGTGGATAATCAGTGAAGCCAATGTTGTCAGCTGTGTTTTAAAAAACAAAACAAAAGACAATCTGTTAGAGAAACAAATATGAGGCGAAACAGTATTAAAAAATAATAAAATAATTGAAAATGGGGTTAAGGGCTTATGGGATCAAGGACCAGTGAAGTCTGAGGCTAATTTTCCATTGCAGAATCTTCCAGTTGCTTTGTGATTAACAAAGTCCCTCCCATAAGGAGGGAAGTCTGCTTTTATAATGGTGTAGAGGTTGTTGTTGTTGCCAGCATCAACAACAGAGTCCCCAAATATGAACATGGCAGGAACAAGAGGCTGTCCATTAGCCACCAAGAGCACGAAGGCAAAGAGAATAAATGGAGCCAAGAAATAACTTGGTAACTTCATTTTCTTCTTATGATGGAGGCTCTGAAGAAGAATAAGTGGAAAACTGGGATATAAGGGGAGCTCGGAAGTGGCTAACAAGTACAAGAACTACTGGATAATAAGGCCACAGTTCCAAGAAGTCCTTTTATTTCTAAGCTGAGGCTATGCATTTATGAATTGGGATGAATTTCAATATATACAATTTGTTGCTTCAACAGTTTATGATGGTACCATTAATTGGTTAGACGAGTTTATTATTAATCCAAAATAAAGAAACAGCTTCGGTTGAATGAATTGTAAATGATATTTTCTATTAAACAAGTAAGTTCAGTTACCATACTTCGAAATCCCAAATATTTAATCTTTTTCGTAGTACAGGCGTGTTTAACATATCCATGTCTTAGGATAATTCGAGCCAGGATTTGCTGAGATGGTTGTTCATCATATTCAATATTGACCATAATCACCCTGGTTGTCACTTCTATTTTAAGCTGCTAATGATGCTGCAGTGAGTAGTTCCCTTGGTAGATATGAGTAAAGCCAGTCTGGATAGTTCAAGAGCTGATTAATATATATTCAACAATGGATTCTAGAGTTAAAGGAAAACCAAACCTGCCCTTTCTTCTCTTTTGCTACACTCGAATTAAGTTTGGGTTATAATGTCATTTGACTCTTGAAAGAGAATTTCCATTTTTAAATCTGGGAGTTTCCCATATCAAATTAACAGAAAAAAGGCAGTAGTTCCAAATGATGGAAAACCAAACCTGCCCTTTCTTCTCTTTTGCTACACTCGAATTAAGTTTGGGTTATAATGTCATTTGACTCTTGAAAGAGAATTTCCATTTTTAAATCTGGGAGTTTCCCATATCAAATTAACAGAAAAAAGGCAGTAGTTCCAACTAAATTCTTGTGGCGTGTCTTGATGAGGTTCATTTTTGGGCTGTCCTAGCTTCTGCTACACCCTTTTCATCTTTTGCCCAAATCAGAAAAAAAGTGAACTAAATAATGGCACTAGAAACATGTAGCCCAAATCTTCAGTCACTGACCTTCCTCATGTTGTATCGTGTGCCCTTTTTTTACTTCTCTAGCAGTTCCTCAATCACTTTCAAATCCTTTATCTGTGAAGCTATCAGATACGGTAGACAAATAGATTGGACATCCTTTCTTGCACAGTATTATTATTTAACAGGCACACCCTAAGCAGAGAGGGGAGGGGGGGGTGCAGCAGGAAATGGAAAACGGGCTATCAGCCATTATCTTTTTCTTGACAGGGTTTACCTATGTTATAGGTAAATAGTTTATCGAGGTTTCTTGCTCCTTCGAACTTTATCGCAATTGGATTTTTACTGCGTTGGTTAAACTTGTATCAAACTCCCATCCTGCTCAGTTTCATTTCCTCATCCAAATCAATAACGTGCGGGGATGTAGCTCAAATGGTAGAGCGCTCGCTTTGCATGCGAGAGGTACAGGGTTCGATCCCCTGCATCTCCATATTTGTATTTATAATTTTTTCCTTACCATTTTTTCTCAAACCATTTTCTTGTATTTATAAATATAGTCACAGAAGAATATTAATTCTTTCCGACATTCTTAAGATATCTGAATGAATCCTATCACCTCCAATCTCCTTCCCAGTGGCTCCAGCTGCAATGCGCAATATGTCTTTAATGAGAGCAACATTTCCCATGATGTCAACATGTGCCCCACTCTCAATGCCCCTCCCTTCAAGCAGGCTAGCTGGTGGCTTGTGCCGGTACTCCCTTATGTATGTAGCAATGCCAGATGGATTGAACCGGGTTCTTCCTCTCCAACCTTTAGCGCACATGAATCCAGCACTTAGAACCGGTACACTGTCATCTCCATCTGCAAAATATACTCCACCTTTCAAGCAGCTATCATCTTCTCCATGGACTGAGCTATCAATCTGGTATGGAATGCTTTTGCACCTACTGATAGGTGATAGCCTGTACACGTATGATCTTTCAGTGGGAATTCCAACACCATACAGGCAGTATATCTCCATGTCCGGCGCATCAGGTAGTCTGAAAAATATGTTCAGCTTTTGCATCAACAAGTATGAGATACAGAAAAAGGGAATATTTTTGGTCGTGTGCAGGTATGTTGCAATAAGGCTTGTGCTTCACTAGATGACAAGTAGACATTTGAATCTTCAGAAGTCAGAATTTGATGATCATGATCAGAATCGGAAAGGCCAATATTGAGGATTAGTAATTCAAGAGAAATGGATATGTACAAATAATAGAGTACATAGAATCTATCTATTATAACTATGAAATCTGTTAAAAAATAATGATGTTAAAATGTATCTGAAGTTTATTTAAATTATACTTACTTCATTTCAAGTGGATTAGACCAGTATTTGTAATGGCTGTATTTAGGGTCGTCAAGATTGTCTGCTATTCCATGTGAAAAATGAGCTTCAGCTCGTTGCATCATTTTTGGTGCCACAAAGCGTAGCAGATCAAAAAGAGTTCTAGTTGTGTAAGCTTTATTTGCTGCAACTTTTTGGATGCTTTCCCTGCTCATCTCATCATATTCGGTCCAGGCCTCTCCACATGAAAACTTCAAATTTTGGAGAGCATTTGTGCGTGAAAATTCCTGATAATGAAACTTCATTATTGATTCCCACCAAAAAAACAAGATCTTTGACATCATATTAGTAAAAGTTCTTTTCCATTGTGTTCGGTCATTAAGTTGTCTCCACTTTAATGGTGAATTACATTGTTCCAACTTCCAAAAGATCGAAAGAGCTAAAGGTTATATATAATTTCTAGGGTAAATAGCTGAATGATAAATATTTATTATACCTTTGAATCGAAAGTGGGAAGCTGTGAAGAATGTAATACTGAGGCTGCCTTGCCAAAAGAGATTATTCTTCCATACTTAACTGGATCTTTCACCCTGAAACCTCTCTTCACATCACTGTTGTTGACATTATTATCACTTGGAGAGGGCTGAGAAAGTCTTTTCTTGGAGAAGTCACATACATGCCCTCCTTCAGGTGACCGGTCCATGTTGCCCCAAATGGTCTCTCCTCCTTTAGGCAGCAATGACACAATGGAGTCCCATGTCCGAGACACCCGCATGACATGTTCTAATGTTTGAAGCCCCAAAATCTCAGAATCCAATATTCCTGGTGCCATAGCTCTACATACAAAAGATAAGTAAAATCTGGTAAACATTTCAAGCTAATCTTTTGCTAACAAGCACTAACATCAAGAAATCCTTGTTTGATAAACTGATTATATGATCAAATCATTAATTACATATTTTGTGATAAAATGGTAATTTAAATTGCAGTAATTTATCTCAACTAAGTTTCCAAAGGTGCCAATTATAAGAAAGAGATTGAAAACTAACCTGATATAAGCGACATCTTTGCCCTCAGCAGAGAATATACTACTAACAGCCTTTGGAACGCCCAGATAAGCCGGACCAATGTTCATGATTGCCTTGATGTGCTTGGCGCACCAACCTGGACCACCACCGCCCCCCATAGGAGGAGGTGTTTCAACCCATTTAAGGAAGTGAAGAAAATAGATAACCCCCATGGAATGCGGCACCACTACCACTTTCTTATAGCCATTGGTTATATACATTAGCTCAATTTTACTCTTCAGCCTACTAAGAGCATGGTCCCGAATCTGCTTATCCCCAATTGAAAAATATGTTAGTTAATACTCAGTATATGTTATCTATGTTTTGTGCTGCAAATTGGCCATGGAAGAAGCAACTTATGCAGAGTAGGAAGGGTTGCTTGGAGCCAAATTCATACTAATTTCTATCACATTCAGAAGCAGAGAGTGGAAGAGCCATACTAAGCATAAATGATACTAAGTATTGTAAATATAACAACATATGCTCAGAAAAGGCACTGGATTTTAGTAGGAGTATTTTGTTGATTGAATCAAATAAACCATTGTCCTAATTTTATTGCCTTGTTCTGTTTAGAATTAAGAATCTCCATAATTGCTTTAGCTGTTTTACTTTCTTAGAACTTCAAGCCATAACCAAAGCATAAGTCTGATGGCCTTGTTAAAGAATTTTTAGAATGTTATCCCTCAATCATTTCTGCTAAGCCTAAAATGGCAGTGTTTACTTGAGATACACACGAAAGTAATACAATGTAATGGAGCAATGTAAAGATGGAGAAGCAAAGGAAGAACCATTATACCTCTGTATTCTGGAAAGAGAGCCTCCAATCATAAGCAACCACATGCAAATTCTTGCCCTCATAACCAATTTTTGCCAAATTTTGAATGAGAACAGCCCACACAAAATATCCCGGAGCAAAATAGTCAGCTGCAACCAGCCCTCGAACAGCACGAACCCGGATTCCTGGTGGGTCAAGGCCAGTTTCATTGTGCAAAGACAAGTGCTCTGACCAACACAAAGGCCTAAATACATAGGATTCCAAAAAACTCAATCCCAATTCAAACTAAAAGATGTAAGTAACAAATGAAAAAACTTGCTTTAAGTACCTCTTGAAGATTTCAGTGAAGCTACCACCCCAAAGGCGTTTACGAAACAAACCATCAGCACAAGGCCTGCCTTCCCATAGCTCCAGTCCACCAGTGACAATGCCAGGGACTAAAACCACAGGGTGAAGAGCCGTCAAGCCTTCACGTTTAAGCCTTACCCCTGGTAATTCAGGAACCTGAAGCAATGTAATTGGCAAACAGTGGTACAAGAACAAAAGAAGCCACCAAGTGGTGCAAAGGTATCCAATTATCCAACAACAAGAATCTAAACATCTCCATTCCTTAGGCTGCCTCCTTGGTTGCTTTCTCTTCTTGTTGATTTCCAAGGCTATATTGTTAGCAGAAATGACATTTTCTTCTTTCTTGTCAAGCTTTTGATCAATCTTTGGTGACTGATCAAAAGATTCAAACCCCACTGAAGAGCACCTTACTGCTGGCTCTACATAGCATAGTTTTCTAAACCGAAGAATAGAAGCCATTTCCAACAAAAAATTAGTTAAACATAGAATTTACAGAAAAGAACAACAACACGAACTACCCATCAAAGGGAAGCATGAAAAACTTAAAAAACCACAAAAAAGCCATAAAAGTAAACCATTGTAAGAAAAAGAACATCTCACTAATATATAAAGAGCTTAAGAAAAAGGTAGAGACAACGGATTTTGGATTTTAATGACACTTTGTCTTGGTCTTTACTCTTTACATGCATGAGATGATGACCCTATATCAGTTGTCAACTTCTTTATCGAGACGTTTCCAACTCATGCTTGCATGTCTGTGTTCTTTACCTTTCGTGTGTAAATTTGCTCCTTTTTAGTATCAAGTTTTGCAACCAAAACTCCCCATTCCCACTCGAAAGTTGGATCAAGAGGCTTTGTTGGTTAATGTCGACAGTTTTGAGTTTACTATATTTTCTAAAACAGCTTCTTATATTAATACAGAAAATGAAAATTGCTGTATTATCACGGCTCTTTTATCATGAATTTGTTTCTTATCAATAATTTATTGGCACAATTCTCATGTATTATTCATGAATTTGTTGTTTAACTTAAAATGATAGACCTTAACAAAAAATTCACTTGATACCTATTTTTCATGTCAATTGGTGAGAATAGTTTATACCATAACAGAAACTGGTGGAGTAATCAACATTACTGTTTCCAATTACAATCAAACAAATTTGTGGGAAATTCAAGTTGAAGCATCTTAGTGTTAAGTTGTGAGAGAAATGGATAAAATGTTCAAAAAAAAAAAAAGTGGGTTTCTTTTTCAGGATGAGAGCAGATCATGAGAGAAATTAAATGTTTATGGTTGGCATTGAGAGAGAGAGAAAGAAGAGAATCCAAAGGGAGACAAAGAAGGAGCCCTCATTCATAGGAAAAGCACACACTACGAAAAACACAGAAACCCAAATTGTCTAAAAGGGACAGCTATGGTCATGGTGCTTGATAGTGGACCTGGAATGAGAACTTTTGCCAAAGGGAAGAGACCCCTCTACAAAAAAACGAACCCATTCTCGAAAGGGAAAGTTATATACCTACTACCAGCCAACAGGCCGGCACAGTAGCACATAATGTATATTGACCCTAGCTATTGAGAAATAGAGGGAGAGAGTGAGGGCACAATTTTTAAGAAGATGGGATATAAATACGGTAAGTAGTGGATGGAGTGATGATATTCTCCTTTGTTCTCTCGTCTGTTTCCTACGCCAAGAGATCAGAATTGCAGCTGCTGCGCTGCAGCTGTGGCTGAGAATTTGTATTTTTGTTCAACCCATGATGGACTTGGACTAAATTATATATGTGCATGAAGAAATTGATCAGGATTCAGTCACTCGGTCATGTGTCTAACTCTCATAGCACACCCTTAGAAAAAGACTACCCCATTTTCCTCTATCCTTTTGTCTATCAAATGACGAAAAAATTAAATTTTGTCACTAAACCCATGTCATTTCTCCAACATCTTGTAATTGTTACATACTCTTCTTTCTTTTTATGTTCTTTGCTTTGTTGAGTTGGTGATTCACTATGAGGAGAGTATTTATGCATTAGAGTCCAGAAATTTTCGACAGATACAAATCAGTTGCCATTCCTTGTGGTCCTTATTCTCTGGGTATATTCTGTTTGTGATGAATCAGCGAAATATATCAGATTTTCTTCATCTAAACGGTCAAAAATAAATGCTTTGAAAGAATTAACTCATCCAATGTAACCCATTGGTAGTACTAGAGCTTTTATCATTCATTTGCTGATGAATCATACAAAATATAGGTTTAGTCTAGGGATGAGACTTTTAAAACTATGACAAGTTGACAATGCAAATTAAAATCAATAGATTTTAGGATCAGGATTATCTGAATGGATTGGAGGATCCACGTTTGCATTAAGATCTTATCACTTATGTTCAAGTTTTATTTCATTTTTTCATTGTCATCAATAGAAATTCTAAGCACGTATTCCACCCATAGATGTACAATTTTACCTACTTTGCAAAGAGATTTCACATTCTAGATAACTCTAATAAAAGGTAATCGATGATACTCATACGTCTAAACATTGTCCATTGTTAAAATAAAAAAACAAATCAATTGAATTAAACTTTTGTTGATTTTTTTAGGTCATGCATATCTTGTATATATTGGTTGTATTTTTTTTTAAATAATATACTAATTATTGAAGGAAAATAATCCTATATTTAATGATCAAGGAGTGGAATGTGACTTTTCAGTAAGGATTATTGTTCTTTTATCCAAGTATCTTTTTTTAAAAGATAAAATTATGAAGGCAAGCTTTCAAATCTTTAAAATAAACAATATCTCATAATGAATGCAATCCAACAATTCTTAGATTTAATAGTATTAGTTTGTTACATCAACAACAATAATAATAATAATAAAAGAAATTTGATGCCTTATCCTTATCACGTAGGAAGGAGAGAAAGATGAGGAAAAGAAAAGGATTGCTAACTCCCTATCAAGGAACCTAATTAATGGATAAAAAGGAAAAAAAAGTGAGTATTCAATATTTAATTCATCCTTCCTAAGTTCCTATTGCAGAAAAAAATAAAGTAGTACTATAATTATTCATCCAAAAGCAATGTAAACATAGTATAACTTTTTTTTTTTACTAAACAAATTAAAAAGAGAAATGTTATAGGAATATATGCCAAAATTAAATGCCACATATTCCCGTATAATTTTATCCCGTTCTAAATCAGCCCTACTGGTATGACATCCCCACTTTAATTGATGTGCAGGCGTTACAAATATCAAACATGCAGCATTTTTGGCACTTGGGTTATGTAGAAAATAAAGCAGCAGCTGGTGTTTTCATCTCTGTTGGTGGACATGTTTATAAATGATCAGCAAAGTGCAAAAATGGCTTCTTTTTTTCAGGTTTGGCGAAGAAAAGGTTAGAGAATGATACGTTACTACAAACTCAAATTAATCATCAATGTAGTTTTCAACTCCAACTTAATTGGTCTAGCAAGCTAAGGGAAAATGCTTTCGGTGAGTGGCCAAACCCTGTGCTACATTTATGCGATTCGAATCTTTCTATAAGTTAATATCTCCAAGTCTTGCTGCTTTATTAATTTTGCCAAAATTCTCATTTTACTTTTGATAGTCGTCTGGCTACTTTATGCATTAATCTTTTGATTTAGGAATAAAATTTTTGTCTACCATAACTAGCATTAGGTGGAACATTGTCCACCCAAAATGTGAGGAATGCGATAGATCTTGGAGACCTCATTTCTTATTCTTGCAGGGTTTCAATGAGTCGAAAGAAATTAATGATTTTGTATAATAATTTTGTTACTTGTAAAAGCTAGGCATATAAATTTTTGTGAACAAGTGTCTTAATTCTTAAAAGAACCTTTTAAGATTATTATATTAAATAATATTTTCTCTTATTGTATTAAAAATCAACATATTAACTATCAATTACTGTATTTAAAAAAAAAAAAAACAACTACTCTTTTTTTTTTTTTGCTAAATTTCAATTATTGCATTTAATAAATAAAAAATGCTACTATAAATATAATATTAATTAATCTTAAAGATTATTTAATCATTTGGTTGTTGACCCCCCAAAAAAAAATCATTTGGTTCATTAAAAGAGAGTACAAAGGAGCAACTATTCCATTGGAATCGTGTTAAAGTTCTAGGCCGTGGAGGAGCTTCAATAAGAAATGGGTCAGGAAGGCTGTAGCCCAATCCTTATACAGATTTTAGCCCAATAACGAAAATGGGACGCTGATCCATTATTTTTTTTTCACTTTTTAGCTACATAGGGTTGGCTGTGAACTTTGAAATTTTTTTTTTCTTTTTCTTTAAATAAGAGTTTAAATTTGAGAAACGTGACTCAAGTGATGCTTTCAATAGTTTCTCTATATTTTGTAACATTATTAAAGTTATTCAAAAACATTTTTTTGCTGTCAAATATAAAATTCTTTGGAGTGACACGCAATATATAATTGATAAGTTTCTGGATGGAAATTGAAACCATTGACTGCAGTTGCCCGCTGTTAAGGAAACGGAAGGGACGGGGACAGGAAATCACCAAGCAATTTAGCTGATTCCCTTGTCAATGCTGACGGGTTTCAAGGTTTGTTTGTCAAATCTAATAGAAAGCGTGAACTAGCTAGCTCACACTGACACCTGATGAATCTTTGGTTGGATTTGAGTGGCCTTTTCGGATCTGCGAATTGCTTGCCTAATCTCCAAAAACCTTGAGTCAACTAAGCAGATAGAATCTATGTTCACATTGACTTTGCTCAATATCAACCAAAACTATCTATCACGAAATAAATATAGTATGGATATGGTAGGATTGGCTCGGAACTCCGCCTGTTATAGGCAAATTGGTGGCTCTTTTTGAATATTGTAACTCTCCTTTCCACGTGCTCATTTGTTGACTCTAAATCACTCCGGTCCACGTGAGCTTTTTAAACAGGCAAATTTTAAAGGTACACATTTATTAATCCATTTTTAGGGCCCCTCTTTTCCAGTACAATATAATATGATGAAATATATGACAAGGGCTACAATTCATTGTCTTTTACATGACACAACGTGGCCAATCTTGAAGATGTGGAACGCTGCTCCTCCCTTAAAACTATTGTTTCTTTTTGGTCGGATCAAAGGTCCGCATGCAATATTTTGGAGCAAAACATACGTGGGTATCTGAGTTTGAATGGTGGGGGACTTCCAGCAGTTCATTTAGTCCTTATGGCACGGAAAAGAACAGAAAGAGAAAATTCAATTTTGGAACGGAGTGAATAAAAAATGTTTGAGGCATGATTAGTCGATAACACTGCCGTTAAGGATAAATTCTCCCCTACCGAGTACAAAACTCGATGCAAAAGGTTTAAGCGGCTACCCTCTACGATACAACAGATCTTTCTAAATAACTTGCGCTAGCTACTAAGAGTTACAGGAATAATTGAACAACAAAACATAGCAAGGGAAAATAGAGGAAGAAAGGATATTGAGCAATGAGAGAGAATATAATAAATATGTCCGTGAATTAAATCGAATTAAATTAAGTTAATTTTTTAAATATTTTATTTAAGGCTTTGTCCAATTCATATAGCTTAAAAACTTGATTTTTTAAAAAATATATTAAAATTAAATAAAAATTATTAAATAAATAAATAAAAATGAAATTGATAAAATTGAGGTCCGTACTAAAAAAATCAAATAATACAATTTTGGTCCCATCTAAAATTGAAATTCCTCTTCATCGTTTTTTTAATGGACCAAACGTGCCATAAGTTCAAGTTAATTATCACAAAATCAACAGATTGGCAACACGTAGTCGGACAAGTAGTCAACTTTTTGACAAGCTTGATGAAAAAAAGGCTCGGAGCTCCGCACATCTTTGCAAATGCCTAAAGCAATAGAATAATGTGTTGCCTCAGCTTGGCTGGGGGCTTTGTTTTTATTAGAACTTTGATTTCGGAGATAATGTGAACAATGGAAGGCTGGTGGAAATGACTAGTACGGGGAGAAATAAAAAGAAGTAAAGAATTTTTTCACATATTCCATAATCACTATTCATTTTTTGTTGCTTCTCACTTATTCTCTTCTTTACTCTTCTTTACTTCCCATCCAAAAAATAATTCTATATTATTATTTTTATTTATTTTACTGCATTAAGTGCATTATACTAAAATGTGGCCGAGGATGCTAGTAGTCTAATTTTGTTGATAAAAATGTTGAATTTTTAATTTTAATAATAAGATATTAATTTTTAATAATTTTAAGGATAAATCTATGCTTGATAATGATTTGTATATATGATGATCATGACAGAGAAACTATTAAATTTGTGAATATAATCAAATAATTACACATTAACCCTTAAAAAATCACGTAGAAAGGGGAAATTTGCTTTCCTCTGTTTGCCAAAAGTAAAGAAAACAAATGATGTAATATATCCAATATTGACAGATCTAACCCAATGAATGAAAATTGAAAAGGACTTGGAGAAAGGTGGTTGGTCTATGAAGTGTGTGTGCAAGGCAGAACAATTTGAGAGATACTATTCGGAGTCACCTACAACTTTTCCATTGTGTTTCTTCAGGGAAATCAAGCTCGGATGTCCGATGTAAATATGCTTATTGTGTTGGTTCTGTTCTTGAGCGGTCAAAAGGTCGGCTTTTCTTCTATTAGAAGCACCTTTCCCTTCATGTCCTCTTTACCTGACCTGTATAAAACGTTCAAGCATTTGTCATAAAAGTCTGTCCCCTTTCGTCTTCTTTCTTCATTTTTACAATAATGGACTTTCCACAAAAGCTTAAAACAATTCTTGCTTCAATTGTAGCATTTTTCATCCAAGTCTGTCCTAAACTAGAGCAGCAAAGATCACAGCCAGAACAGCCACCATCATTGCCTCAACCAGCAACTTCTAGTATGGACATTGAATCACCTCAGCCAGGGTGGCTACCATCACCATCATCGCCTTCTCCTTCCAATGATTATGAATCCCCGCAACCCCAGTTGCCCTCGCCAGCCCCAGCTCCCGCTACTCTCTCAAACCTGAAACTGCAGCAAGAGTATTTACTTGCAGCCCAGCAGCATCTACAATGGCAAAATTCAGTTCTAGCATTTTGCTTTTCATTTGCACTCGGTGTATCGCTCCAATTTGTGGGAACTGATCAGGTCAATCACCAGCTCCCTTTTTCCTTGGTTTTGCTTTCGTTTCTTGTCCTACTTAC